CCTTCCTTCCTTCCTTCCTTCCGACAAACTTTCGCTCTTGTTGCCCAGGCTGGAGTGCAATGGTGCAATCTCGGCTCACCACAACCTCTGCCTCCTGGTTTCAAGTGATTCTCCTGCCTCAGCCTTCCGAGTAGCTGGGGTTACAGGCATGTGCCACCAAGCCAGGCTAATTTTGTATTTTTAGGAGAGATGGGGGTCTCTCTCTATGTTGGTCAGGCTGGTCTTGAACTCTCGACCTCAGGTGGTCTGCCCACCTTGGCCTCCCAAATTGCTGGGATTACAGGCGTGAGCCACCGAGCCCAGCGATTAGTTTGTATTTTCTAGAATTTGTCTATAAAGGGAATCATATGGCATGTACTCTTTTCTTTGTCTGGATTCTTTCACTAGGCATAATTATTTTGCAATTTATACATGTTGCTGTATACTTTATTAATGTATTAATAATTAATTCCTTTTCATTGCTGAATAATATTCCATTGTCAGGATATATTTGTTAATGAACATTAGGGTTGTTTTCAGAGTTTGGCTATTACAAACAAAGCTGTTATGAACATTTATTTATGTATAAGTCTTCATATAGACATATGTTTTTATTTCTCTTAAATAAATTACTAGGAGTGGGATGGTAGGGTCTTATGGTAGGTGTGTGTAATTTTCAAAGAAATGGCCAAGCTATTTTCCACTAGCACTTTATGAGAGTTCCAGTTCTGTCACATTTTCATCAACACTTGTTATAGTCAATCTTTTCAATTTTATCCATTCTTGTGCAAAGTGGCCTCTCATTGTGCCTTCCATGTATATTTCCCTAATGACTAATGTTGTTACATTTTTCTCTTATATTCTTTTGTTTACACTCTTTGCAATCACTTTTTCACTCAATATCTTGTAATCAGCATATAGGTTGTGAAGTTTTTGAGATGTGCACAACATAGTAACTATAGTTAATAATAACGTAGATTTCAAAATTGCTAAGAGTATAGGTTGCCAATGTTCACACCACGAAGAAATAATAACTATGAGAGGTGAGGGACATATTAATTAGCTTGATTGAGTCATTCCATAATTGTACATATACCAAAGCATCACATTGTATCCCCTAAATATATGCATCCATTATTTGTCAATTAATTAAAAATAAAATTATAGAAAGAAAATAGGAAAGCCACTGCATGAACTGGGAGAAAATATTTGCAAAACATATATCCAGCAAAGGACTTGTGTATAGCATAGTATGGTTTTGTAATATATTAAGCACTCTTACAACCCAATAGTAAGAAGACAAGCAACCCTTCCTCACTCACCAGGAAGCCGCAGATCAGGCATGTGATGAGTCCCAGGAGTACTGCCAAGCAGATGAGGATGATGGCCCAGAAGGGAAGGTCTGGGGAGACAAGGGCTGGGGTGAGCCACCTCCTGCCATGTCCTAGGGCTCCTTCTTGGACCCTATGTGGCCTGAGGATGGGCACAGCCCTGGGGAGGAGAGCTTAGTGGCTCAACACCTCAAGCCTTTGATGCCCCCAAAAAGTGGGTCCCCAGCAAGCCAGGATCCCTGCTATCCCTTCACTATGCCTCAATAGTCTTTGCCATGGGTTGGTCAACTTTGATCCTCATCCAAGACTCTGTGTGCCTGGTGCTCTTGGAGAAGGCAAAGCACCCTCAGGTTACCCCCTCCCTACCCTGGCCTGGGGCTTCTTTGAGACTTACCAGAATTCCCAGTTAAGGGATCATTTCTGTTGGGAGAATACCCTAGAAATGAAAGAAATGGAGGGTGCATGTGAGTATGTCTTATTCTTTTTTTTCTTTTGGAGATGGAGTCTTGCTCTGTTGCTCAGGCTAGATTGCAGTGGCATGATCTTGGCTCACTGCAACCTCCACTTCCCGGGTTCAAGCAATTCTCCTGCCTCAACCTCCCAAGTAGCTGGGATTACAGGCGCCTGCCAAAACGCCCGGCTAATTTTTGTATTTTTTTTTTTTTAGTAGTGATGGGGTTTTACCATGTTAGACAGGCTGGTCTCAAACTCCTGACTTTGTGATCCACCCACCTCGGCCTCCCAAAGTGCTGGGATTACAGGTGTGAGCCACCATGCCTGGCCGAGTGTGTCTTATTCTTTTAAATACAATTTTACAAGCATACAAAAAAGCAGAGAGAAGAGTACAATAAATATTCATCACCTAGATTTAGTGATTTATATTTCCTCCAACTAAAACATATACATCCAATTTATGATTTATTAACATTTCAGTGAAAGTAAATATTTTTGCTGAAGTTTTAGAGTTGAGTGGACATCATGACATCTCACCCCAAATATTTCAATTTGTATCTCTAAAAAAATGAGGACGTGTGGCTACATAAGCCCAAAGCCATTATCCCACTACAAGAGTGTCATAAGTTAAATTCATGCCTCTGGGCATGGTGGACCTAAATTGGGCTGGGCCCAATGGCAGTGGTGGAGAGAATGGATCATCGCAGTTGGAAACTCATGGGATCTCTCTAGGTTTATAAATTCTTACCCAAAAGCTTTTTCTTCTGCCTAAAAACACATTTAAGCTCTCCTTCACTTGGTGGTTTTATCGTCATCTTTTAGAATTCACCTTCAATGTCATTTCCTCCAGGAAGCCTTCCCTGATGACCACACCCATGTATGAATAGGTTCACATCAAATAATTCATAATTGACAACTGCCTGTTCTTGTTATTCCTCACTACAGCACAAACTCCATGAAGATAGGGATGTAAAGCCACCATCAGGCATGGGGAGAAGGGTTACTGATTCTTCTACTTCTACAACTCTGTTATAGCCAACTTCTTTTTTTTTTCTCAAGATGGAGTCTTGCTCTGTCACCCAGGCTGGGGTGCAATGATGTGATCTCATCTCACTGCAACCTCCGCCTCCTGGGTTCAAGCAATTCTCCTGCCTCAGCCTCCCAAGTAGCTGGGATTACAGGTGCGCACCACCATGCCTGGCTAATTTTTTGTATTTTTAGTAGAGACAGGGTTTCACCATGTTGGCCAGGCTGGTTTTGAATTCCTGACCTCGTGATCTGCCTGCCTCAGCCTCCCAAAGTGCTGGGATTACGGGTGTGAGCCACCACGCCCAGCCTATAGTCAACTTCTTAAAGATGTGGAATACATACCAATGACTAATAAGTATATGAAAAAATGCTCAACATCACTAATAATCAGAGAAATGCAGGTTAAAACCATGATGAGATACCGCCTTACACCAGTCAGAATGACTATTACTAAAAAGACAAAAAATAATAGATGTTGGAAAGGATGCCAGAAAAGTGAACTCTTAAGCAGTGTTGGTGGGAATGTAATTTAGTACAATCTCTATGAAAAACGTATGGAGATTTCTCAAAGAACTAAAAATGGAACTACCATTTGACCCAGGAATCCCACAACTGAGTATCTACACAAAGGAAAATAAATAATTGTGTCAAAAAGACACCTGCACCTGTGTGTTCATCACAGAACTATTCACCATAGCAAAGATATAGACTCAACCTAAGTGTCCATCAATGGAGGAGTGTATAAAGAAAATGTGATATCTCTTTCTCTCTCTCCACACACACACACACACACATACACACACATACACACACACACACATACACACAACACACATACACACACAGCATACACACACAACATACACACACATACACACACACATACACATAAAACACGACACACATACACAACACACACCACACAAATACACGACACACATAACACACACGGGCACACACACACATACACACACGACACATACACAACCACAGGCGAGCGATAACAACACACACATACCACCAGCACACACACACACATAACACAACACACACACACACCAACACACACATACACACACACACCATACACACACCATCACACACCACATCACTACACACACACATACACACACACACATACCACACCACACATACACACACATACACCAACACACACCACACACATATACACACGACACATACACACACATAACAACACACATCACAATGCCAATACCAACTCGGGCATAAAAAAGAATGAAATAATATCTTTTGCAGCAACATGGAAGGAAGTGAAGGTCAAACAACTCATATACAGGAAGTCAAATAGCACATGTATTTGACTAAATAATGCATAGACATGTCAGTGCTAAATAATGCATAGGCATGGACATAAAGAGTGGAATAATAGAGAGTGGAGACTTGGAAGGGTTGGGGAGTGGAGGAGAGTGGATGATGAGAAATTACTCAATGGGTACAATGTACATTATTCAGGTAATGGATACCCTAAAAGCCCAGACTTCCCCATCGAGCAATAGATCCATGCAACGAAATTGCACTTGTATCCCTTAAATATATACAAATAATAATTTTAAAAAGTAGTGTGCAATATGGAGCAGCCACAAGTGGCTTTTAAATTAAAATTAAATAAAATTAAAACTTCAGTATCTCAGTTACATTAACCACACTTCAAGCACTTAGTAATCACACATGGCTCTGTGCTGAATGGCACAGATAGAAACATTTTCTATCATTGCAGAAAGTTCTATTGGATGGGCTGATTCAAGGCAAGGTTTGGCAAACTACAGCCCTGCTGGGTCCATGGCCTGGTTTTAGAAAGCCTGTGAGCTGACAACAATTTTTATTTTTAAAAAGCAAATTGGTAAAACAAGAAAAAAGCATGTGAAAGGCCTGTTGATTCTGAAGAATCAACAGTGCTCTGTTGCACAACAATAAATCAGAACCAAGGACAGGGCACACAGGCACTGGAAGGTCCTATCTAACACGTTGTTCACATTTGACTTGAAAAGAACCTCGTATGAAATCTAGTTATTTCTTCTGTAAATATGAGTTGAGTGTTTATTATGTGCCAGGCAGAATATGGGGTTCTTGGAATATAGTGGTGAAAAAGCCGTTACTCTCTGTTATATTCCTGATACATGGTACAATGTATGTAACTATTCTTTGAATGGGTAAATTTGGATATGCAAAGTTGAGTCACCTTGAAGCCATCCCTGGAGTTGGAAAATAGGTCCATCCTACCACATAGGTTGAGGATGAATCACATACAACTTGAAACTGGAAGCCCTAATTGACCTGCTGAAGCAAGAGGATCACTTGTGGCCAGGATTTAGAGACCAGTCTGGGCAACATAGTGAGACCCACCCTCTACACAAAATTTAGAAATTAGCAAGGTGTGGTGCCACGTGCCTGTAGTCCCAGCAACTCGGGAGGCTGAGGTGGGAGGCTTGCTGGAGCCCGGGAGTTCAAGACTGCAGTGAGCTATGATTGCACTACTGCACTTCATTCTAGGTAACAGAGCGAGACCCTGCCTCTAAAAGAAAAAAACCAACACAAAAAAACCAGAGCCAGGTGCAGTGGTGCATGCCTGCCTGTAATCCCAGCACTTTGGGAGGCTGAAGCAGGTGACATGCTTGAGCTCAGGAGTTCAAGACCAGCCTGGGCAACATCGCCAAACCCTATCTCTGGAAAAAATACAAAAATTATCCGGGTATGGTGGCACATGGCTATAGTCCCAGCTATCTGGGAGGCTGAGATGGGTGGATTGCTTGAGCCCAGGGGTTGAGGCTGCAGTGAGCTGAGATCATGTCACTGCACTCCAGCCTAGGTGACAGAGTGAGACCCTCTCTCAAAAGCAAACAAACAAATAAACAACACAACAACAACAACTAATCAGGGTAATTGTTTAACACTGCAGCTGCCTGGGGGTGGAGGAGCAATACCATCTAGGGCAGGCAAGAGGGGAACCAAAAACCGAGTGACTTGCTTAGTACAGAGATAAGAAGTCCAGAGAGGACATGTGACTAGCCTGAGGTCACGGAGCTGGCCAGAAGAGGGCAAATGCCTCCCGTATCCCTCGGGCATCCTTTTCTTTCCTCCAATGATGGGTAACGCCTAGGAGAACTAAGCCACTTTCTCCCAGTCTGAGAATCATCCCCAAGCCTTCAGATTCCCAGGGAAGGACCCAGGTGAGGAAGTGGGAGCTTCTACCCCAGCCCCAATGACCCAGGGAGCTTTACCATCCACAAGGACACTGCTCCTGTCCAGGGTGAAGTTCTGCAGCTGGCTACCATTCCGGGTCATCCGCAGGAATTCCTCATAGATGGCAACTCTGTCTACTCTCCGAGCCAGTGGCGAGAAGTTACACAGGGAATCCACCCCCGTGTGGTGGCTGTTGGGGACAGACCTGGAAGGGGACAAGGGATAAGGAAAGATATCTGCAATTTTATCATGATTCTAGGCTTTCTCCTTCTAGAGTCTTCCTGTAAGAACTTTCTGCAATGAGGTAAACATTCCATGTCGGCCAGGCACAGTGGCTCACGCCTGTAATCCCAAAACTTTGGGAGGCTCAGGCAGGCGGATCACGAGGTCAGGAGATCAAGACCATCCATACAAATATTAGCTGCATGTGGTGGCGTGTGCCTGTAATCCCAGCTACTCGGGAGGCTGAGGCAGGAGAATCGCTCGAACCAGGGAGTAGAGATTGCAGTGAGCCGAGACCGTGCCCCTGCACTCCAGCCTGGTGACAGAGCAAGACTCCATCTCAAAAACAAAACAAAAAACAAACAAAAGAATTCCACATCTGCACTACACAATGCAGCCATTAGTAGCTTCATGTTGTTATTAAACACTTAAAATGCAGCTAGTGTGGGAGAAGAACTGAATTTCTAATTTTATTCTACTTAATTCATTTAAAAATAGCTACAGGGAGGCCAGGCATGATGGCCCATGCCTGTTATCCCAGCACTTTGGGAGGCCAAGGTGGGTGGATCACTCAAGATCAGGAGTTTGAGACCAGCCTGGCCAACACAGTGAAACCCCATCTCTACTAAAAACACAAAAATTAGCCGGGTGTGGTGGCACACGCCCGTAATCCCAGCTACTTGGGAGGCTGAGGCAGGAGAATTGCTTGAACCTGGGAAGTGGAGTTTGCAGCAAGCTGAGATTGTGCCACTGCACTCCAGCCCGGGCAACAGAGGGAGACTCTGTCTCAAATAAATCAATAAAATAAATAATTTTTTAATTTTTAAAATAATTATTTTAAAAATAATTATTTTTAATGTTGGGGTAACATTTGAATGTTGGGGTAACGACTTCTGAATACCCATAAAATCAGTGAGAACAATGGCCAAAATAGTCCAAATCAATTTTTCCAGAAGTGTAGAAGTGAACCAAAGGCTTGCAAAACTTCAAGGGGTGTTTAGTTAAGGAAGGTGTTAAATCTCAATAAAAAGAGCAAGCTTTGTGGCATTTTAACTTGCATTATTTCCACAGTGCTCTTTCAAGATCCTCAGTATTTTATTATTATTATTATTGTTGTTATTATTGAGACAGGCCCTGGCTCTGTTGCCCAGGCTGGAGTGCATGGCACAATCTCAGCTCACTGCAACCTCTGCCTCCTGGGCTCAAGCCATCCTCCCACCTCAGCCACCTAAGTAACTGGGACTAAAGCTCACACCATTATGCTCAGCTGATTTTTGTTATTTTTTGTAGAGATGGGTTTTCACCATATTGCACAGGCTGGTCTCAAACTCCTGAGCTCAAGCGGTCCACCCACCTTGGCCTCCCAAAGTGCTGGGATTACACTTGCGAGCCACTGCATCCAGCAAGATCCTCGGTCATTTTGAAAACCAGTAGCCTCACAATCATGATAGCTGTGAAAACCAGCCGCCTAGCAGTCAAAATAGCTTGAGAGTGCTGCAGACATCAATCCGCAGAACCTTGTCACTATTTGATCTGCTTGGCAGCTCCTTGAAAAAGCCCTATTCTCAGGGCTTATCTTTATTTGTTCTGACTCAGAATTTGTTTAGTGAGGAAAGCCTGTTCTCAGGGCAGTTGTCAAAAAAAAAAAAAATCATTGGTATTCCCCCATTGGAATTGATACCTCTCATTGAAAAGCACAGTTAGGGCCAGGCGCGGTGTCTCACCGCTGGGTGAGTGAGTGCTGGTCATCCCAGCACTTTGGGAGGCCAAGACGGGCGGATCACGAGGTCAGGAGATCGAGACCATCCTGGCTAACATGGTGAAACCCCATCTCTACTAAAAAATACAAAAAACTAGCCGGGCGAGGTGGCGGTGCCTGTAGTCCCAGCTACTTGGGAGGCTGAGGCAGGAGAATGGCGTAAACCTGGGAGGCGGAGCTTGCAGTGAGCTGAGATCGCGCCACTGCACTCCAGCCTGGGCGACAGAGCGAGACTTCGTCTCAAAAAAAAAAAAAAAAAAAAAAAGAAAAGAAAAGCACAGTTAGGCTGCTGGAATCTAAGTAATCTGGTTTTAGTCCCCTCCTTCTCCCATCTTCCATGGGTCCTGATTTCAGTAGCCGATGTCTTAATGAAGTTGATTCTACACTCTACAGTCCATGGCCTCAGCACCAGGTATCTTTATGTCTGCTGAGATTTACACCAGTGCTCTTGAGTGTTGGAGCCAGCTGGGTTCCAGCTTTAGGAAAAAGTTGGTTTTTAGTTAACAGCTCTCTATTTCTAGGGCTCTCTTCCATCAAAGCTATGGCTTGGGAACACTTCTATTTAAAGGACAGCAGAAGTTCCTAGAGTCATTAGGTCCTGAGTTAGAACTCACCTGAATGTTGAAACTTGACAGTCAGAAAAATAGCTCTTGATGCTGCTATTTCGGAAGAGTTGGTTGAGCTGAAAGACAGGGCGATGTTTCTCAGGTCAGAATCCTGGTCCCGGTAGCATCAGAGAATTTTCAGCCACTGAGCACACTTCTCCATCTATTTTGTTTCTTGTCATGACAACCACTTGCCCAGGTATGTATATCAAAGGACATGCTCTTCTAGGGTATGACTTAGCTGTGTGACCTTGGGTCAGCTACTGAACCTCTCTGTGCTTGCGTCTTAAATGGGAATAAGAACCTGTCTTTGTGGATTGTTATAAAAAGTCACCCTGTGGCTACCAGAATGCATAAGTCGATTTCTGCATGCAATAGAGTGGACACACCACCCCCTTCTCACCGCGTCCTCAATATTCCTTTTGTTCCTCTGGTAATTGGTGGTGCTTGGCTGGGATATGTCCTGGGAATATGGTAGGTTGGTGATGGTGAAATTCAGGTAGAAGTGCTGGGTGCTGGAACTGCTTGTTGGTTTTGTTGGTTGATAAACTGATGGCTCCATTTCTAGAATTTTAAAAAAAGGATGTAAAAATTCACTCTCAAGGCAGGGTTTTAAGAAAGAGATTATTCCAGCTAGCTTAACTTATTTCTGGCATTGTGAGCTGAGCTAGGTTTGTTTTTTTTTTTTCTGGAGGGGAGGTTGTTTGTTTTGTTTTGTTTTTTTGAGACAGTTTAACTCTCTTTGCCCAGGCTGGAGTGCAATGGCGTGATCTTGGCTCACTGCAAGCTCCACCTCCTGGGTTCAAGCCATTCTCCTGCCTCAGCCTCCTGAGTAGCTGGGATTACAGGTATGCATGCGCCACCATGCCAGGCTAATTTTGTATTTTTAGTAGAGACATGGTTTCTCCATGTTGGTCAGGCTGGTCTCAAACTCCCGACCTCAGGTGATCCACCCGCATTGGCCTCCCAAAGTGCTGGGATTACAGGTGTGAGCCACCGTGCCCGGCTGAGCTAGGATTTTAAAGGTGGGATAGAGGGTTTTAGGTAACAGTTCTATATTGGATGGAGGATCTTCCTCCATCCATCTGTCCAACTTGCATCCATCCACCCATCTACCTGTCCAACTCTCTTTCTACCAAGCATTGTAAGAATTGCCTACAACGTGGGATGAAAGACTGGGTTTCTCTGGGGGTGTAGTCAGCAAGCATAGGTGCTGAGCAACCCAGAGTCTTCTAACTGATGATCTTTGTTCGTAAAGGGTCTTCCTGACTCTGCTCTTCTCTCCCTCCACCCTCCATTCTGCACACAGCACCCAGAGGATAAGCAGAATTCATGTCACTTTCTTTCTAAAGCAGAGCTCATGAGTGTGTCATGTTCCTCCCCAAGCCATTCCAGTACCCAGCAACGTCTCTGCCCACATCTTTGGCTTCGACTGTCACCTCTCCAATATCAAAGTGGATGCTGCAGCTACACCAGTCTTCTGAAACTTCCCCCAAAATGCCATATTCTTTTTTTTTTTTTTTTTTTTTTTTTTTGAGATGCAGTTTCGCTCTTGTTGCCCAGGCTAGAGTGCAATGGCGCGATCTCGGCTCACTGCAACATCTGCCTCCCGGGTTCAAGTGAGTCTCCTGTCTCAGCCTCCCAAGTAGCTGGGATTACAGGCACACACCACCAGGTCTGGCTAATTTTTGTATTTTTAGTAGAGATGGGGTTTCATCATATTGGTCAGGCTGGTCTCGAACTCCTGACCTCAGGTGATCCACCCGCCTCGGCCTCTGAAAGTGCTAGGATTACAGGTGTGAGCCACCACGCCCTGGAAAATGCCATATTCTTTTTATCTTCTAGGTTATAGATGCATGGAGCTCTGTTCTCCATCTATTACCCCTGGCTAGGTCCCATTCTCTGCCAGATCTCAGCTTCTTCACCCCTTCCTGCACAAAACTTTCCAAGACAAGGTTGTGTGTTCCTCCTTGGGGCTCCCACAGGCTCCTGGAATTCCCTTATCATAGCAGTGATCACACTGTATCATCAGTATGTGTTTACTTCCATTGTTTATTGAATGAATGAATGACTTCTTCATTGATTGATTCATTCATTTAATTAATCAACCATTTTAATTGACCAGTTAATCAATTAAATCAATACTCAAATCAATTAATCAATTATTAGTCAATTAAATCAATTAATCAACTAATTAAAGAATCAATTTTTAATGAATCACTTATTCTTTAATTAAAAGAATCAATAAATTGATTCAAAAAATGATTTATTGATTCATTCATTCAACACAATTTTTTTAATATGTAAAAATAGCTATTCTCTTAGGTGCAATGACTGAGTGTTCTGTTCCTGCCTCGTTGGATAATCTCCTGCCAGAGATCATCTACAAGGGTCTCCAGAAAGCCTCCCTTTCTCTCTCTAGAGCCTCCACCAATTTCACTGGTACCGAGAAGCCCCATCTTTCCTCATAACCCCACCTCTTCCAGTTATGAAACCAGCCACCCCAGCTTGTACCTGTCACATGGATGTCCACCAGCTGGTAGGTGGAGCCCAGCCAATGGGATGAGGCATTCAGGGTCTTATCCAGAAAGACTTGCTCCACCAGGCTGGGGTCCAGATCGGAGGAGAACAATGCCTTGACAGTGACCAACATGGAGTCCATCCTAGGGACAGAGACCACAGGAATTCAGCCAGTGCTCAGCATCAGCAGGGTCATGGGTTGCCGTCTTTAAAGAGCCAAAGATCTAGAGGCAAGGTGGTGGTGGAGTGCCTAGCTGCCCCCACCCCCAGTCTAGAGAAGGGTCCTGATCAAAATGGGAGGCCTTCGGCTGGCTGCAGTGGCTTACGCCTATAATCCCAGCACTTTGGGAGGCCGAGGCGGGCAAATCGCCTGAGGTCAGGAGTTTGAGACCAGCCTGACCAACATGGCAAAACCCCGTCTCTAATAAAAATACAAAACTTCACCAGGAGTGGTGGCACCTGCCTGTAGTCCCTGCTACATGGGGGAGCTGAGGCAGGAGAATTGCTTGAACCCAGGAGGCAGTTGCAGTGAGCAGAGGTCACACCACTGCACTCCAGCCTGAGCAACAGAGCGAGACTCCATCTCAAAAAAAAAAAAAAAAAAAAAAAAGGACGGCTTCCAGGAATTACATCTAGAAGCAATAACAGTAACAATAATCAACATTTTTTTATAGATCAAGACCCCTAAGAAGTGACTTATGCATTCTTCATCATCACTCTGGTGGAAGGTATTGTTAAAATTATCCCAATTTCTCCCACTTTTCCCCTCTTGATTTCTACTTTTTATTATTTTATTTTGTTTGTTTGAGATACGGTCTCACTCTGTTACCCAGGCTGGAGTGCAGCCTCCTAGGGTCAGGTGATCCTCCCACCTCAGCTTCCCAAGTGGCTGGGACTACAGGTGCGTGCCACCATGCCTGGCTAATTTTTGTATTTTTTTGTAGAGACTAGGTCTCCCTGTGTTGCCCAGGCTGGTCTTGAACTTCTGGGCTCAAGAGATCCGCCTGCCCTGGCCTCCCAAAGTGCTGGAATTACAGGCATGAGCCACTGTGCCCACCCTACTTTTGATTTTATTTGTTTGTAATTTTTGTGGGTGCCTAGTAGTTGTTTTTATATTTATGGGGTACATGAGATATTTTGATACAAGCATGTAATACATAATAATCGTCAGAGTAAATGGGGTATCCATCCCCTCAAGCATATATCCTTTGTGTTACAAACAATCCAAGCATACACCTTAGTTATAGATTTAAAATGTTTAAAATGTACAATCAAATTATTTTTGACTATAGTCACCCTGTTGTGCTAGCAAATACTAGGTCTTATTCATTCTTTCTAGTTTTTTGTTCCCATTAACCATCTCCGTATCCCCAACTGAAATACAAAATCCTTGAAGTTTAGAAATATGCAAAGTCAGCCCTGTGACCTGTAATCCTCCTCTTCCCAAATATAGGTATCTTCATTCCTTCCTCCAGTCATCAGAGACCTGGGTTCAAATCCCAACTTTGACAGTTCTTGGGAAGTTCACTTTTCTGACCCTCAATTTTCCCATCTGCACAACAGGGATGATCTTTGCACTCAACTCATAGAGACTGTTGTCAGAATTAAATGAGAGGAGGCTGGTTGATGTTAAATATTATTATCAGGCTAATATTTTGAGTTCTACATCAGAACGTTACCTTTTCCCAAGTGTCCAGAAAAAAAAGAAGAAGGTGGATGTGGGCAGTTGGTGGCTCCATGAGGTTAATCCTCACTCCCTACCTTGAGGATTTATGGGAGGAGATGGTAGGATTAGCTAACAGGGATATAGGGGAGAATGGGTACCCCATTGGGGATGTCTAGTTCAAGGGTGCTCAGAGACACAGCCACAAGCTTGGCCACTGCTTGTGACCTTCAGAACTTACGTCAAGTTGGTGACCAGGCAGTAGCGGAACGTGTCGTGTAGTTGGCTGCCTTTGTAGAGTGTGATGACCTAGAAGGATAGGTAGGGAGAGTGGGTGAAATGGAGATCTCTTGGGGGTGGAGGGGCCGCTGATGCCAGTGGAAAAAAACACAGTACTTGGAGCAAAGGGGACCACAGTTCAAATCCTAACTCTGCTTCTAAAGCACTGTGTGACCCTAGGCACACCACGCCCCATTCTGAGCCTCAGTTTGCCCATCTGGGAAATGGGAACGGTAGTCAAGAGAGCACTTTTGGAAACTGAGAGAGAACTCAGAATACGTAGTGAAGTGAAGCATTTGAAATGATCACTTAATAGACAAATCAGGTAGAAGAGGCAGAGAAGCATACAGGGCAGGGAAGACGGGAGGGGTGAAAGATGTCCTACCTTGTCCTGGATGTCCCTCAGCAGGGCGATGTACTCTGAGGACGTGGGGTCTGGATTACTGAGGTTCCAGTTGACAATATGGAAATGTATCTGGTACTTGCCCCGGATTGATAAATTCTGGGGTGCATAGCCTGGAGCCACAGAGAAGAAGAAAAGACAACATATAGCGAGGAAATGCTGATCACAAAATGCAGAGCCGGAATGGCCCAAGGGTCCCCTGCCTACTGTCAGAATCAGTCAATTTCAGGTCCACATGCTGGGCATTGCAGGAACTCTTAGACAGAAAGTTGTCCCAAAGAGAGGGAAAACTGGAATTTTACACAGATTCTCCTGAGTTGAACTTTCCTGCATGTGCTATGCAGTTCCCGCTTCTAGGAATGCATCCTTTTCATTTCCTGCAAAACGCTTGAAGCTCACACTTCAAGAGCCCAGTGAGAGTGAGCTCCAGCACAGCAGGGGCCCATGTCTGTCTTATTCATTACTGTGTCCTGGCACAGGGCCGGGTACATAACACCCTCCTCCAGGAAGCCCTCCTTGATTTACTCCTCCTCTCAGCTCCCTTAGTATTCTGTTAGTAACAGCAGTGGGGTCTTTATTGTACACTTAATTTGTTGTTCACCTGAGTATGAGTTTTTCAGAGACAGAAAAATGTGTCTTCCATCTCCAGACCCAGCACAAGGCTTGGGGCAGAACAGCCACCCATATATGTTTGCTGAATGAATGAATGAATGAATGTGAATTACAGCAGAGACTCTAATCTTTCATTTGCTCACTCATGCAATGATTCTTTCCATACTACGACGTGCTGATATACTGAGAACCGAGGGTACGGTGGCACTCATAAAAGACTGTAATTTTGTTGAGCTCACAAGGTAAGGGGGAATCAGAAAATTTAATAAGTAATTCCAGTAAAGTGTGATAAATGTCAGCCTTGTGCCCACCTGGGAACTTTGGGACCATGTACAACAGGATTTCTCACCCTTGAATTTATTGGCATCTGGGGCTGGATCATTCCCTGGAATGGGCATCTCCTGTGCACTGGAAAATGGACTACTGAACCACTAGATGCTAGTTGCACTCTCCTTCTCTGAGTTGTGATACCCAAAAATGTTTCCGTATATTGCCTAGAGTCTCCCGGTTGTGGGGGGCGGGGCGGAAGTGCAGAAGTGTCCCCTGGTAATAATCACTGACATAGAGGATCCTTATATAGAAGGCCCTGCTATCCTGTCCCAAAGGATGCCACGGCTCAGCCACTTGGGTTTTGAATTGAAATTCATTATGGATGAAACTGGGGAGGGGGGCGGGAATTATGCTAAGTGAAATAAACCAGACAGAGAAAGGCAAATACTGCATGACCTCACTTACATGTGGGATCTGAAGAAGTCAAACTTATAGAAGCAGAGAATGGCATGGTGGTTATCAGGGGCTGGGGGCATGGGGGTGGTGATAGAGAAAATGGGGAGATGTTGGTCACAAAATACAAACCTTTAGTTATAAGATGAATAAGTTCTGGGGATTGAGTATAAAGCTTGGTGATTATAGTTAATAATACTGTATTGGCCGGCGCTGGTGGTCTCAAGCCTGTTTTTTAATCCCAGCCACTGTTGGTATGAAAGCCGAGTATCGTGTGTCGAGAGATCATTCGATATGGTCAGGAGATCGAGACCCATGCTCTGGCGTAAACACGGTTTGGATATACCCGTTCTTCTCTTAAAAATTAACAAAAAATACCGCTACCGGGCTGTTGTGAATCTGGGTATTTGTTGCGCGGAAGCGCCTTGGTAGTCCCGTCTACTGTGGGTTAGCTGATGGCAGAGAGAATTGCGTAGAATACCTGGGAGCAGAGTTCTGTGCAGTGTAGATGTGAGATGCGGCTCAGCTGCACTCAGCCTGCGTGGCGACGTAGAGCCAAGACTTCCGTCTTCAAAAAAAGAAAAAAAAAAAAAAAATACTGTATTGTAAACCTGAAATTTTCTGTGAGAGTAGATCTTAAGTGTTCTCTCTCTCGCTGTCTTTCACACAGACGCACAAAAAGGCACAGTAACTACATGACATAATAGCTGTGTTAACTAATTTGATCATGCTAATCATTTCATAAGCTACACATATATTAAATCACCACATTATACATCTTAAATACATATAATTGTATTTGATAGTTATACTGCAACCAAGCTGGAAACAAAAGTGAAGGAGAAACAGACAATTTATGACATTAATTTGGTCAAAGAATTTCATGCTATTTACTCAAAATAATAGGAAAGATTCTCCCCTTGATGGTTTGGGGAAGGGTGGCCCCCAGCCAGGCCTTGGGCTTTTTTTTTTTAGAGAGGAAAGGGAATACAACAGGGACAAATAATAGTCATGGTAGGCTAGGCACGGTGGCTCATGCCTGTAATCGCAGCACTTTGGGAGGCCAAGGCAGGTGGATCACCTGAAGTCAGGGGTTCGAGACCAGCCTGGGCAACACGGTGAAACCCTGTCTCTACTAAAAATGCAAAAATTAGCTGGGCATGGTGGCATGCACCTGTAATCCCAGCTACTTGGGAGGCTGAGGCAGAATTGCTTGAACCTGGGAGGCAGAGGTTGCAGAGCCGAGATTGCACTATTGCACTCCAGCCTGGGTGACAGAGTGAGACTCCATCTCAAAAACAAAACAACCCACCAACCCCCAGAAAGTCACTGTAAATCCCAGTTCAGCCTGACACTCACCGTTGATGAAGAGGCTATCCCTGTCCAGGACATAGAAGCCCAGTTGGGTGACACCATGGGTCAGCTGACTCAGCTCCCAGTAAAGCTGCTGTATGTCCAGCCCAGGGCCCACAGGGTCAGTGTGGTAGGTGCAGGTGGTGTCCACGCCAGTGGCTGCTCCATTCTTCTCAGGCCTGGGGAGAGAGGCATTTGGGGACTCTAGAGAAGTCCTGAGACCTCTGCAGGTAGAGAGCAGAGGAGGGAGGAGCAGGGGAGGGCTGAGAAAGGGGTGGTCATTACTGGCAAATGGCCAGGAAGTGGTCTCACCTGAGGGAGATCAGTTGGCAACCCAAGTAGAAGGGGACCATGCTGCTCTTCTGGAACAAGGCTCTGAGCTTGAGAGGAAGGAGGAAGAGGGTAAGCCGAGGAACAGAGGTTGGGGGTAGGATTTATCCCACCGGGAGCTGCTGGGACCAGGGTCTCACCAGGTGCTTCAGGACCCTCTCGGTGGAGTTGAAGGCAGCTGAGCCATTGCCCATGTCTGGTGAATACTGGAGATTGGAGATGGTGAAGTTGAGTGTGAGGGTCTTCAGGTGGTAGCCCATGGCTGCAGGAGGAGGGGAGAAGAGACGTCTGCAACTGAGGGCTGGTCTGAGACTAGATCAGACTGCACTCATTATTAACCAGTGTGGCCATCCAAGTCAGAAGCTACGTATCTTCTCCCCTCCAAGTCACACCAATTCCCTTTGCTGCATATTCATCACATATATCCTCTAACTCCTCCCCTATCCCAGTTAAGGTCTTATTTTCTCTCACCCTGATTAGCACCCTGGCAGACTCACTGGATGCCCTGTCTAAAGGACATTCTCTATACTGAACACGAGAAGAATCTTTCTGAAATGACGATCTCACTATGGCTGCCCCTGCTCTAGTACCATCCACAGCTCCCTATGGCCTTCAGTATGAAGTTCAAATTTCTTGACTTGGCATTCAAGGCCCTTCCCAATCTGGCTCCTGCTGACCTTTCAGTCTCACTTGTCCATCTACTCTGGGTTAAGCTTTATGTTTCATGCAAACCAAATTCCTCTCACCTCTCCCTATACTCTAAGGCTGTTTCTGGCCACTGAAGGTTTGCTCATGGTCTCCCCTCTTTCAGTTATACTAGTCGTGCCCTATTTGCCTGAATCACTCTTACTCATCCTTAAAGACTCAGTTCAGGTGAAACTTTCTCCAGAAAGCCCTCCTCCTTCCCAATTATGCCAGGTGTCTCACCCCAAAACATCTGACATTATGATAGTCTATTTATTTCATAAAATTGGGGACTCCACGAGGGCAGGTGTCTGATTGAACTGCTAGTCTAATCTTTGAGGAGGAAAAATGGACCCCAGATACCTGTTGTGGCTTCTGACAGAGGAGGCAGGAATGTGGTGGCTGGCTTGGGAGCTGTGGAAGGAACAGTCCATCAGAGAGGAACAAAGCCCGTCACCTAGTGGGAGAAGCTCCCCTGGGCTTCATCAGTAGTCCAAGCCAGGACAACCGTTCACAGGTGGGCCATAAATGAGACTGAGGGAAGGAGTGACTGTGTGAGTGGAGGAGTGAACAAGACTGTGAGTGAAATTAACCCAAGAGAGTGGGGGTGGGGGTTAAAAAGAGAAAGTTGGAACAAAGAGGATAGGTGGATGGCCGGGCAGGAAAATGGAAGGGATCAATGAATGGGTAGAAGGTGCAATGTACAACTGGTGGGCCAAAAGAGAAGGCAAGATAGATAAAAATGAGGAAGAGAAGTTGGAAAGATGAAAGAAGGAAGGAAAGAAAGAAGAACAAACAGGCTAATTGGGCAGGAGGATGGGTAGACATATGATGGATGGATGGATGGATGGATGGATGGATGGATAAGTGAATGGGTAGAAGGATGAATTAATTGAAGGACAGAAAGAAGGAAGGACAATTGGGTGAGTGAGAAGAAGGGTGGGTGAAGAGATGGCTGGGTGGATAGATGGATGGATGAAAAGACAGAAAGAAGGAAACAGGTGAATGAAGATGAGGATGGATGGATGGTTAGAAGGACAGAAAGAAGGGCAAACAGGTGAATGGGGAGAAGGAAGAATGGATGGAAGATGGATGGATGGATAAAAGGACAGGTGGAAGGAAGGACAAGCAGGTGAATGGGTGAGAGGATGAGTGGGTGGATGGGCAGATGGATGAATGGATGGAAGGACAGAAGGAAGGAGAGACAAGCAGATGAATAGGTAGGAGGATGGATGGAGAGATGGATGGATGGTTGGAAGGACAGAAAGAAGGACAAACAGGTGAATGGGGAGAAGGACAGATGGATGGATGATGAATGGATAGTTGGAAGGACAGAAAGAAGGACAAACATGTGAATGGGGAGAAGGATAGATGGATGGATGATGGATGGATGATGGATGGATGGATGGATGGGTGGGTGGATGGATAAAAGGACAGATGGAAGGAAGGACAATTGAGTGAATGGGGAGGAGAATGGCTGGAGAGATGGCTGGCTGGATAGAAGGATGGATGGAAAGACAGAAAGAAGGAAACAGGTGAATGAAGAGGAGGATGAATGGAAAGATGGATGGATGGTTGGAAGGACAGAAAGAAGGACAAACAGGTGAATAGGGAGAAGGGTGGATGGATGGTGGATGGATGCAGAGATGGATAAAAGAGCAGACAGAAGGAAAGACAAGCAGGTGAATGGGCAGGAAGATGGGTGGATGGATGGACAGAAGGAGAGAAGGAAGTAGGGGCTAGCAAGTGAATGGGCATGATGGGTGGGTGGTGGATGAGTGGATGGATGGATGGATGGATGTATAGAAGGACAGAAGAAAGGAGGAACAAGCAGGTGAATGGGCAGGATGATGGGTGATGGCTGAATAGATGGATAAAAGGACAGATGGAAGAAGGATGAGGAGGTAAATGGTCAGGAAAATTGGGTGGATAGGTGGATGGATGGATGGGTGAATGGATGGATGGATGGAAGGAAGGATGGTGTCTGAGAGATGACTGGAAGGATAGAAAAATGGATGGCTGGAAAGATAGATGAGTGGATCACTGGATGAGACAATGGGCAAATTTAGCCAAATTCACTTGAGTAGCCAGCAGAGTTTGCAGCTTGACCATGAAGCCCCTGCTGGGGCACTTGGAGGAGATTTTGTTATCAAGAGGTATGGACTAACAAGGTCATCATCTGACCTCAACCTCGATCCCTGTAGGGAATGCTTGTTCAAACTTCTTCCTCCAACCCAGAGGGGCGTGGAAAATTCACTAAGCCAAAACTATGGCTGCAGGTCTAAAAACAGGCCAAGGACTCAGCATTCTTCCTCCCACTGAGACATTGCCCCTCACCACCTCAGGGAACCAGCCCGAATTTGGGGCAAGCTTCCTTTATGAATGAGGAGAAAAGCGTGAACGAAGACCCATGGAGATTGAAATGATTGGATTCAAAGACACGTACTTGTAGGAGGCTCATCTGGACCAGGTTCATTGTAACCTAGAAACAAAGAGGTCACACATAAGAGGAGGTGGTGGAACCAACCCAGACACTCCATGCCTTTGTCCATAAGGGGCCCCTGCCTGGATGCCTTTCCCTTTGTGTATCTAGAGATGATGGATACATTTATGTATCATCTAATATTTGACTTAAATGTGTTCACCACTAGAAAGAATTTCCTGATATTTCAATTAGCACTGACCTTCCCTACTCACGTCTCTAGCATGCCTCCAGTGAGAGGCTGTCATTATCTTTGTGTTCACAAGTCTATCCTCCTGTCCATCCAAGCCCCCCGCCTCCCCTTCCAGGCCTCCTCCAATCTATTCCTCCACCCAGTGAATGTTTATTAAGGGTTTACTATGTACAAGCCTTCCTTTACATTTGGGGACTAAAGGGCAGAAAAAAACAGTCTCTGCCCCTCTGGAGATTACATTAGGACAGGATGCACATGTAACCTATCTCTGTCCCTGGGGCCAGGCACAAGACCTGGTTAATAGTAGCTGCTTGGTAAATCTAAATGAAGGAACAAAATGAAGTATAGAAGCTGTGCAGTTTACAAGGGGGAACAGCTCCCAGGAACAGCCAAGTCGAAGGGACTGTGTGTCAGCTCAGATCATCAAGACCCAACCTGCACCTGTGTGTTTATCACAGCACTATTCACAATAGCAAAGATGTGGAATTAACCTACGTGTCCATCAACAGATGAATCGATACAGAAAATGTGGCATGTATGCACAATGGAACACTATTCAGCCATAAAGAGAAATAAAACCATGCTGGTGAGGTTGCAGAGAAAAAGGAGTGCTTATACACTGTTGGTGGGGGTGTAAATTAGTTCTTCCACTGTGGAAAGCAGCGGGGCGATTCCTCAGAGAGCTAAAAACGGAACTACCATTCGACCCAGCAATCCCATCACTGGGTATATGCCCAAAGGAATATACATTTTTCTATCATAAAGACACATGTTCATTGCAGTACTATCCACAATAGCAAAGATGTGGAATCTACTTAAATGCCCATCAATGATAGACTGGATAAAGAAAACGTGGTACATATACACCATGGAATACTATGCAGCTATAAAAAAGAATGAGATCATTTCCTTTGCAGGAACATGGATGGAGCTGGAGGTCATTATCCTTAGCAAACTAATGCAGGGACAGAAAATCACTTATAAGTGGGAGCTAAATGATGAGAACACATGGACACATAGAGGGGAACAACACACACTGGGGCCTACCTGAGGGTGGAGGGTGGGAGGAGGGAGAGGATCAGAAAAAATAACTAATGGGTACTAGGCTTAATACTTGGGTGATGAAATAATCTGTACAACAAACCCCTGTGACACGAGTTTAACTATATAGAAAGCCTGCGCCTGTATGGCTGAACTTAAAAGTTAGAAACAAAGAATGAATCCATGTCTTTTGCAGCAACATGGATGAAACTGAAGTTACCTTAAGTGAAACAAGTCAGACACAGACAGACAAATATCACATGTTCTCACTCATAAGTGGGAGCTAAACAATGTGTGGACAAGAACTCAGAGAGGGGAATGACAGATAAAGGAGGCTTGGAAGGGTGAGGGGGTAGGAGAGGGGTGGGTGATGAGAAACGACTTAATGGATACAATGTATGTTATTGGAGTGGTGGATACTCTGAAAACCCTGACTTCCCTACTATGCAATCTATACATGTAACAAAATTGCACTTGTACCCCAGAAATGTACACAGACAATGAGGATGATGATGATGATAGTAATTATAACAATAAAGAACATCAAGAACCAGACCAGCCAAGAACTTAGCATGGGCATGAGCAAGTCCCTTCCCCTCTCTGTGCCTCAGTTTCCCTCTTTGCTAAAATAAGAGTAATAAAAGTCCAGGATGTCTCTCCACATCCTGGTTCCTACCTAAAGGTACCTCATATAAGTGATATGGGGTGCCCACCTCATGGGGTCATGATGATGAGCACTGTTCTTGGGTTGGTGGTGGAGGGGATGAAAGGGGAGCTATTTTATCAATTCTCCATAGTCATGCTTTGCCTCTCAGAACCCCATTTAGGGGATGCCTTCTTAAATGTTGTCTTTTCCTGAGTTCTAGACCAATGCTGAGGCCCAGTGTGCCTGAAGCTTAGATCCCCTAGATCTTCCTGGTATAGGGGCCTCACGTAGGAGAGAAACCCATCCTTCCTCAATGGTAAAGAGAAAACAGGGAGGGGGCCGGGCGCGGTGGCTCATGCCTGTAATCCCAGCACTTTGGGAGGCCGAGGCGGGCAGATCACAAGGTCAGGAGATCGAGACCACGGTGAAACTCCGTCTCTACTAAAAATACAAAAAATTAGCCGGGCGTGGTGGCAGGCGCCTGTAGTCCCAGCTACTCAAGAGGTTGAGGCAGGAGAATGGCGTGAACCCGGGAGGCGGAGCTTGCAGTGAGCCAAGATCGCGCCACTGCACTCCAGCCTGGGCAACTGAGTGAGACTCCATCTCAAAAAAAAAGAAAAGAAAACAGGGAGGGAAAATGTGTTTGCTTTGTTTTGTTTTGAGACAGTCTTGCTCTGTCACCAGGCTGGAGTGCAATGGTGCAATCTCGGCTCACTGCAACCTCTGCCTCCTGGGTTCAAGCGATTCTCCTGCCTCAGCCTCCCGAGCAGCTGGGACTACAGGCGTGTACCACCACACCCAGCTAATTTTTGTATTTTTAGTAGAGACAGGGTTTCACCATGTTGGCCAGGGTGGTCTCAATTTCTTGACCTTGTGATCCGCCTGCTTTGGCCTCCCAAAGTGTTGGGATTACAGGTGTGAGCCACTGCGCCCAGCAGTAAATGTGTTTTTTGTCCCCCAAGTGCCCCCACCAGGAAGACTCTTCTGTGAGTTAAACATGTACAGTGGATCATAGCACTGAATGCTGACAAGTGGAGCTCATATCCTGGTTCCATCACCATCAAGGTAAATTGCTTAACCTGTCTAAGCCTCAGTTTCTTCATCTGTAAAATGGGATTAATCAAAGTCCAACCTTGCAGGTGATTATGGGAGGGTCAGTGGTAACATCAAGACTTGAACCCCAAGTCTTTCCCTAGAGAACCTGCAAACAGACACCCTCCTGGGCTGCAGCGGGGGTTGGGGGTTGAGGCAGGGAGATGGGGCTGCGAGATGCTCACCGTTAAGGTAGAGGCTGTCTTTGTCCAGAAAGTAGGGGCCCAGCCGGGTGATGCCGTGGGTCTGCTGGCTCAGCTCATGGAACACCTGCTTGATAGGCAGACCTGGGCCATTGAGGGGCTGCAGGTAGGTGCAGAGGATGTCCACCTGTGTCTTAACGCCGTTCTTCACAGACCTGAGGAGGGAGAGGTGCACCTTTTGGGGATGAAGGTCACCTGGCACCTCTCCACTTGTGGTCACTGTCACTGCATAACTCACAGTCCATATTTTGGTCTCATTGACAATTTGCAGTTTCTCCACCTGGCCTTATCTATCATCTCAGGATCTCTGCACTTGCTGTTACTTTTGTCTGGAAGCTTCTCCCCATTTCTCCTTACCTGGATAACTTCCCGGTCATCCTCCAGGTCTCAGCTTAGAGGACTCCCTCCTGCTCCTCCTCTTCCTCCTCCTTCTCCTCTTCTTCCTCCTCCTCTTCCTCCTCCTCCTCTCCGTCCTCCTCCCCCTCCTCCTCCTCCTCTTCCTCCTCCTCCTATCTTCCTAGGCAATTCCTAGGCAAGGTCAGGAGCCTCCTCTGGGTCCCACAATCCTCCACTCTTCCCCTGTCACTGCCCTGATCACCCTCTGTGTAATCATAAATTATTTGTTCCTGTTCCTACCAGAACATGGTCTCCACGAAGGAGGAAAAGAACCAGTTTAGCTTACTCTTATTGTATTGAAGCCCCAGAACCTAGCACCCCTTGACAACTCCCTGCAAAAATCAAAGTCCTAATGAATGGAGAAACAAAATATAGCATTTACATACAAGTGGAATATTATTCAGCCCTGAAAAGGAAGGGAATTCTGACACATGCTACGACATGGATGAACTTTGAGGACATTATGCTTGATGAAATAAGCCAGTCATACAGTACAAACCAGGACATATACCATATGATTCCTCCATTCATAGAAGGTCCTTAGAATCATCAGATTCACAGAGACAGAAAGTAGAATGGTGGGTGCCAGAGGCTTGAGGAGGGGGATGAGGAGTGAGTACTTCATGGGGATGGAGTTTCAGTTTGAGAAGATGAGAAAGTTCTGGAGATGGATGATAGTGGTGATGGTTGCACAGTAATGTGAATGTGCTTGATGCCACTGAACGGGAAATATGGCTAAAATGGTAAATTTAATGTGATGTGTATGTTACCACAATTTAGAAAAAAAAAAAAAATCCAGGCTGGGCACAGGGGCTCACACCTATAATCCCAGCACTTCAGGAGGCTGAGGTGGGCGGATCATCTGAGGTCGGGAGTTTGAGACCAGCCTGACCAACAGGGAGAAGTCCCATTTCTACTAAAAATACAAAATTAGCTGGATGTGGTGGCGCAAGCGTGTAATCCCAGCTACTCGGGAGGCTGAGGCAGAGGAATTGCTTGAACACAGGAGGCAGAGGTTGGCGTGAGCCGAGATCATGCCTGGGCACCAAGAGCAAAGCTCCATCTTAAAAAAAAAAAAATCCAAGTCTTCCAATGCCCTTCAACCTTGCTAATGTCTTGGGTCTCATCCTCTCTCTCTTTCTTTCTTGCTTTCTCTCTGCTCCAGTCACACTGGCCTCTTAGCTGTTTATAGAACGTGCCAAGTTCCTTTGCACCTCAAGACCTTTTCTCATGCTGTTCTCCCTGCCTGGAACAGTTTTCATGGCCATTTCGGACACAGCCCAAGATTCATCCTGGGTAAAGTTGCTCTTCCCATTACTCGCTATTTATTTATGTTTCATATCACTTTACCCCATTTGAAGCCACTTTACTTAGGTATTTATGTTCCTGTTTAGCATCTGTTCTCCACTGGGTGAGGGCAGGGACAGCATCTGTCTTATAACTCTAGTACCCAGCACCTGCCTCAGAGGAGCAGTGCCACAGACATCAGTTGAGTAAAAATAAAAATGGAGAAGTAAATAGTAAATACCAAGAGAGTGCAAACTGACCCAAAGAAGTCAACTTGGCAAGGATGCAAGAAAAGGAAACTCTTATACATGGTTGGTGGGAATGGTAGAGGAGTGGTGCCATGGGCATGGGTTGAGTAAAAATATGAATGGAGAAGTATCTAGTGAATACTAAGAGAGCGCAAAGTGACCCAGAAAAGTCAAGTTGGCAAGTATGCACGAAAAGGAAACTCTTATACACTGTTGGTGGGAATGTAAATTAGTACAACCTTGAATGAAAAACAGTACGGAGAGTTCTCAAAGAACAAAAAAAATTAGAACTACCATTTGACCCAGCAATCCCACTGTTGGGGATCTACCCAATGGAAAAGTTTTGGAAATAAATAGTGGTGATGGCTGCATGACATTGTGAATGTAATCAACGTCACTGAATTGTACATTTAAAAATGGTTAAAATGGCAGATTTTATGTTACATGTATTTTTGCCACAATATAAAAAATTAATAATGTGATTTAAAAAAATAGATGCAGAAAAGGACCCTCTGAGAATAGCTCAACCTATATATATCTACAGGAAATGAGGCCAGATGTGGTGGTTCATGCCTGTAAAATCCCAGCACTTCGGGAGGCCGAGGCAGGTGGATCACTTAAGGCCAGGAATTAGAGACTAGCCTGGATAACATGGCAAAACCCCTTCTCTACTAAAAATGCAAAAAAATTTAGCCTGGCTTGGTATTGGGCACCTGTAATACTTGCTACCTGAGAGGCTGAGGCGGGAGAATCGCTTGAACACGGGAGACAGAGGTTGTGGTAAGTCGAGATCACACCGCTGCACTCCAGCCTGGGTAGCAAAAGCAAAACTCCTTGGGAGGTTGAGGTACAAGAATTGCTTGAACTCAGGAGGCAGAGTTTGCAGTGAGCTGAGATTGCACCACTGCACTCCAGCTTGGGTGACAGAGTCTCACTCTGTCTCAAAAAAAAAAAAAAAAAAAAAAGAAAAGAAAAAGAAATGAAACCTGTATCTTAAAGAGATAGCTGCACTCCTATGTTCATTGTAGCACTATTCAAAATAGCCAAGATATAGAAACAAGCTAAATGACCTTCAGTGGATGAATGGATAAAGAAAATGTGGCATACACATATACAATGAAATATTACTTGGTCTTTAAAAAGAAGAAAATTCTGCCCCTTGGGATAACATAGATGGAACTGGAGGACATTAGGCTAAGTGAAATAAGCCAGGCACAGAAAGACAAATACCGCACGATCTAACTTACAGGTGGAATCTAAAATTGTCAAACTCATAGAAGCAGAGAGTAGGATGGTGGTTGCCAGGGGCTGGGAGGAGGAGCAAATGGGGTGATATTGGTCAAAGGGTACAAACATGATAACTATGTAGAGGTAATAGATATATTAATTAGCTGAAATGTGGCCATCGTTTTATAATGTATACCAAAATATCAAGTTGTACATTTTAAATGCAAGCAATTTTCATATGTCAAAAAATCAAATTGTCAGGAATAAATAAAAAAGTTATTTATACCAGTCAGAATAACAATCACTAAAAAGACAAAAACCAACCAACCCGCCAACCAGACAAACACCAAACAACCAGATGCTGGCAAGAATAAAAAAAAAAAGGGAACTCTTATACACTGTTGGTGGGAGAGTGAATTAGTACAATCTCTATGGAAAACAATATGAGGATTTATCAAAGAACAAAAATGTAAAACTACCATTTGACCCAGCAATCCCACTATTGGGGATCTACCCAATGGAAAAGAAATCATTATATCAAAGAGACACCTGCACATGTTTGTTTATTGTAGCACTATTCACAATAGCAAAGATACGGACCTAACCTAAGTGTCCATCAACAGAAGACTGGATAAAGAAAATGTGATATATATATATATACACACCACGAAATACTATTCAGCCATAAAAAGAGTGAAATCATGTCTTTTGCAGAAACATGGATGGAATGGGAGTCCATTATCTTAAGTGAAACAACTCAGAAATAGAAAGTAAAATACCACATGTTCTCACTTATAAGTGGGAGCCAATGGACTCCATGTCCATTAGCTCATGGTCAAATATCATACGTTTTCACTTATACGTGGGAGCATGGACTCCAGGTCCATGTACACATGGACATGGAGTGTGGAATAATAGACACTGGATACTCAGAAAGGTGGGAGAGTGAGAGAAGGGCGGGGAACCTCACTTAATGGGTACAATGTACACTATTTGGGTGATGCGTACACTAAAAGCTACTGTCTGAAAGTCTACTGTCTGCAGACTTCACTATGCAATATATGCATGTAACAAAAACTGCACTTGCACTCCTTAAATCCATTTTAAAAAAAGAATGGGGCTGGACGTGGTGGCTCACGCCTGTAATCCCAGCACTTTGGGAGGCTGAGGAGAGTGGATCACCTGAGGTCAGGAGTTCGAGATCAGCCTGACCAACATGGAGAAACCCCATCTCTACTACAAATACAAACAAACAAACAACAACAAAAACAATAGCCAGGCATGGTGGTACACGCCTGTAATCCCAGCTACTCTGGAGGCTGAGGCAGGAGAATCACTTGAACCCAGGAGGCGGAGGTTGCAGCGAGCCAAGATCATGCCATTGCACTCCAGCCTGGGCAACGAGAACAAAACTTCATCTCATAAAAAAAAAAAAAGAAAGATGAAAAGACAAAAAAAATATAGCCCACCCCAACCCAAGAAGGCCCTCCCAGTCAGAACCCTAACTTCTTGGTGGTGGGCTGTGGGTGGGGGAGTTTCTCACCTTAGTGCAATGACCCTGCAGCCTGTGTACCGTGCACCCACGCTGCTCCTCTGGAACAAAGGGCTGAGCTGCAGAGGGAGAAGGGAGCCGTGGTTGGTCAGAGGCAGGCAGGCAACAGCCCTAGGATGGGCATGGCAGGGCTGCAGAGGGAGGCAGGCCTCTCACCAGGTGCTGCATGACATTGTCTGTGATGTTGAACTTGAGGGAGCCGGGTTGACCCATGTCCGCCATGTAGCGCAGGTTGTTGATGGTGAAGTTCAGTGTGAAGGGCTCCTCGCTGACCACCCCGGCTAGGGCAGGGGGAAGAGAGAGAGAGAGAGAGAGACAGAGAGAGAGATGAAGCTCTTGGGGAGGATGATGGGTGGGTAGGGGGTGGTGTGGGACAAGGTGGGGGCAGTGTGTTCCAAAGACCCTGGGTTCACCTCTCAATAAGCCCAAGGCTGACTTTTAATAGAGACATCTCCAGCAGCCAGTAAGGGTGTGCTTAATGATTTGGGATGTCCAGATGGGGTCCTATCCAAATGCAAGAAGGGAGGATTCTGTAAAAAGTGCCAGTGATTCTGATCTTTCCCAGGGGAAAGGCTCCGTATAACCACACTGATGTAGAAGTCATGCATGACTCCAGACATTTTAAAAAAATGTATTCTCTCTCTCTCTCTTCCTGTCTCCCCCTTGATCCTTCTCTGCCTTTCTCCCATTTCTCTCTCTCCTGCACTCACAACCAGGTATGCTAATCTTCTATGCATTAGTTAACATGGCCAACAATCTTTGCAGCCATAACCAACCTCTCTGCACCTCAGTTTACTCACCTGTAAAATGAGATGACAATGGTTCACAATGATGATTCCTGCCTCAACAGTTGTTATAAAGCTTGAACAGTTAATCATTGTAAAGCATGTAAGCACTGCTGGGCACACAGGTCAATATGGTGTACATATTTATTATATAAAATGTATCACAAATGCTTTCTAATCACTCCCTCTGTGTGGAACTTTATGGAAGTATGAGCTAAGGATTCTCTTTTACTTTTTTTCTTTTTTCTTTTTTTTTGTTTTGAGATGGAGTCTCACTCTGTCGCCCAGGCTGGAGAGCAGTGGTGCGATCTCGGCTCACTGCAAGCTCCACCTCCAGGTTTTACACCATTCTCCTGCCTCAGCCTCCTGAGTAGCTGGGATCACAGGCGTGCACCACTACACCCAGCTATTTTTTTTTTTTTTTTTAGTAGAGATGGTATTTCACCGTGTTAGCCAGGATGGTCTCGATCTCCTGACCTTGTGATCCACCCGCCTCAGCCTCCCAAAGTGCTGGGATTACAGGCATGAGTCACTGCGCCCAGCCAAGCTAAGATTTAAGACAAACCGCTAGAAGAAAAGTTTACCTCTCCTTCTCTCCCTGCCTTTCTTCTTTTCATCATTCTTGAATTTCCTTCTGTTCATTCTTCCTTCTCTCCTTCTTTCTCTCCTGAACTTCCTTCTGTTCATTCTTCCTTCTCTCCTTCTCTGTTTCTATCATTTCTTCTTCCCTTCCATCTTTCATTCTATTAATGCATCCTTTCTTTCTTGCTGACTTCCTTCCTTTCATTTTACCTTCTATCATTTATTTATCCTTCCTCTTCCTTCTCTCACTTCTTTCCTTCTTTTCAACCATCCATCCATCCATTTGTCCATCCATCCATCCGTCCATCCATCCATCCATCCATCTATCCATCCATCCACCTACCCACTCATCTGTCCATCCGTCCATCCATCCATCCACCTACCCATTAATCCATCCATCCATCCATCCACCCACCCATCCGTTCATCCATCTGTCCATCCATCCATTCATCCATTCACTCACTCACCCAACCATCTGTTCATCCATCCATCCATCCACCCATTCATCCACCCACCCATCCACCCATCCATCCATCATCTATCTTTCCTTCCTTACACCTCTCTTTTCTTCCTTCCATCCACTTATCCACCTTTCCTCCTCCTTTTCTTCTTTCATCCATTTTTTTATTTCTTCAATCCACTCATCCATCCTCTCTCCCTTCCTCCTTCCATTCATCACTTCTTCCTTCCATCTATCCACCTTGCCTTCCTTCCATATATATGGAATTTGTCCTACACTGCTCCAGGAACATTTGAAGGGGAGCAGGGGGGTGGGGTAAAGAAATATTCTGGCCCTTCAATAGCCCCACCTACCATTGTCCCACCAATGCCTCCTATTGGCTGAACCTAACAGGCAGCTAGTTAGCATGGGAACCTGGGAAATGAAGTTTTCATGAGTCAGAACTCTATCCCACAGAGCACAGGAAGGTTGGAGAATGGATCCGAGGACAAAAACAAAACAAAACCAAACAAAAACCCACAATAGGTATAATAGAGAAAGCCCATAAGAAGTTACATTCCTATAAAAGAGAAGCAGACAACAGAATATAAACCAATAAGTTCAAAAAAGTGAGAGAAGTATTGTGAAGGATTAACAGAAAACAAACAAACAAACCAAAAAACCCAGGATCTCATTTGGAAGTATAAGTGAGACAAATTAGTGTAAGAAATTGACTTTTCCTTCACAGTCCACAGATTGAACAGACAACCCACAGAGTGGGAGAAAATCTTCACAATCTATATATCCAACAAAGGACTAATATCTAGAATCTACAATGAACTCAAACAAAATAGCAAGAAAAAACCAACCATCCCATCAAAAAGTGGGCTAAGGACATGAATAGACAATTCTTGAAAGAAGATACACAAATGGCCAATGAACATATGAAAAAATGTTCAACATCACTAATGACCGGGGAAATGAAAAATCAAAACCATAATGTGATACCACCTTACTTCTACAAGAATTGCCATAATCAAAAAATAAAAAAATAATAGATGTGGTTCTGGGGGCCAAGACGGTCGGCTAGAAGCAGAGTGCTTGGAGGCTCCCATTGAAAAAAACCACAGTAAGTGTGTGAATCCTTCCCTGGCAACCAAGATATCCAGGTTCCCTCATCAAAATTGACTAGAAGGCTGGCAGTGACCCATGGAGAGAAGGAAGAGCAGTGTGGTGTGGTGGCCCACCTGAGAGACACAAGGGGAAGGGCAACCCCTTCCCCCCTAGCCAAGGGAGGTGGTGAGTGAGCGGGGTATCCAATCTGGAGAAACTGTGCTTTTTCCACGGAACTGTGCGACCCACAGATTGGAAGATCCCATTCGCGAACCCATGCCACTGGGACCTAGTGTCCCAACCCCAGAACGCGCAGATTCTTACAGCTGGAATCTACCTAAGCCTACGGAACTCCCCGGGGGAGGGGCGACCAGCACTGGCTGCAGCTGCCTGCTGTCTAAGTCTTTTGAGTTCCTTGGGGGAGGGGCAACAGCCAGCGCTGGGACTCACAACTGCCTAACACGCTAAGCTCCCTGGGTGGGGGAAGGGCAGCACCCCTTTCTGTAGCTCCAGGCTGTGCTTTTTCCCTGCTGGAGCCAGTAAGGCTGAATGGCTTCGTCCCAAGGTTTGTCCCCACAGTCCAACACACCGGCTGTGGCAGTCTTGCAGCCAAAGTGACTCTTCAGGGCTTACCCTTACCCAACCTTCCTCAGTGGGCTGGGCTTTCCTGTAGGATCTCCAATAATTCCAGCCAGAGGCTCAGGGACAGAATTCAGACTCCCTGGGCTTGAGCCCCTAGTGGGAGGGGTGGCTGCAGTCTCTGCAGACCAGCAGAGTTAGCCTCTCCTCCTGGTAGTTCTGAGGAATTCAGGCAGCCCAGATGTGTGGGTTTCCCCCCAGTGAAGCACCCCCTCTCCACCAGGGACAAAGGGCTTCATTAAATGGGTCCTGTTCCCCATGCCAGTCAACTGGGTGAGACCCTCCAACAATAGTTGTCAGACACCCTATACAGGAGCGATCCTCCTGGCATCAGGTTGGTGCCCCTCAAGATCAGAGGTCCCAGAAGAAGCAGGCACCTCTCTTTGCTGCTCTCCAGCCTCCCTGTGTGACATCTCCCGGCATGGGAGTGAATCAGATGAATAGGACCTGAAGTGAACCCCTAGCAAACTGCAGCAGCCCTACAGAAGAGGGACCTGACTATTCACAGAAAAACAAGCAGAAAGTGACAACAACAGCATCAACAACAACTACAACAACAAAAAGTCCTCCACAAAAACCCCTCCAAGGATCAGCATCCTCAAAGCCTGAAACTAAAACTCACAAAGATAAGAAAGAATCAACAAAAATATGCTGAAAACCCAAAAGACCAGAGTGCCTCTTCTCCTCCAAATGACCACAACATCTCTCCATTAAGGGTGCAGAACTGGATGAAGGATCAGATGGATGAATTGACAGAAATAGGCTTCAGAAGATGGACAATAAAAAAGTACAATGAGCTAAGGGAGCATGTCCTAATGCAACGCAAAGAAGCCAAGAACCTTGATGAAAGGTTAAAGGAATTGCTAACTAGAATAAACAGTTTAGAGAGGAACATAAACAACCCGATGGAGCTGAAAAACAGCACAAAAACTTCGTGAAGCATACACAAGTATCAACAGCCAAATCGATCAAGTGGAAGAAAGGATATCAGCAATGACCAAGCTGAGCCTGAGTTGAGCCTTCTAGGAAAACCAAAGAGTCAACTACACATCATCAAGGAACCTAACTCTCTCGAATTCAGCCCCATAATCCTGAGTCAGCTCCAACTGGATTGGTAGCAACTGATTTTTTTTTTTTTTTTTTGATAACCATTCTGAAGCTGTTTTGAACTGAGAGAAAATGAACGCTATTATCAATTGGTGATGTCTGCCATGAATGCTGCAATCAATTAATGATGTCTGTCATGGATGAGGGAGTGCAGCAGATGCCATATAGTTTTCCAATGTAAACTCTGGCAGACACTAAAGTTGAACCAAGGCAGAAGAGGAAATTTTCCATACATTATAAGAAAGCATACTTCATTCTTTCCTTCCCTGGGAAAATCCATGTTTTCCTGTAGATCTAAATCTGTCAATCTACCATGTACAAGGTCCTGAAGTAGATACTAGGGAAGCACAAGGGAGTAAGACACAGTTGCTCCAATCAGCAGGTTTATGCACTATTGGGGTGACTGGATATAAACACAATGTTCAAAGCAGAGAAAATGTGTTTGCAATTGACTTAAAAAATATGCAACAGGACTTAGAATGAGTGACAAAATAAAAGGTTCCCATAATTCTTTTGCCTATAATAATTCAAGTTTTTTTTTCCTTTTTAGAAATCATATTAAATAGTACCAGTTAAACACTGAGCATAGCACTTTGGTGCATATTCAGGACCCAATAAGTTCATATATTATCTATTACCTTTGTTATCACCACCACCATCATAATCATCACCATCCCTGTCACCATCACCATCATTATTGTCATAATCACCACCATCATTACCACCATCACCATTATCATCATTACCATCATCACCACCACCATCACCATTGTCATCATGATCATCATAATCACCATCACCATCGTCATCATCATCGCCACCATCAGTATCATCATAAAAACAGCTCTTTGAGAGGAGAGATTATTAATTGTTTCATGATCCATGCCATATCCCCAGGATTTGGCAGAGCCCCAGGGCTTGGCACAGTGCTCAATAAAGTTTGTTGGTTGGCTCATCATCACTAGATTTATAAAGAATTTCCATCTTTATTTGACTGAATAATGGAAGAGATGTTTACGCTCATCAGCCATGCTCTAACAGAGGTGCCATTGGCACATACTTATTCAAGGGACCAGTAGAAGGGATGGAGCCCCAGAATTTCCCAGGTTTACTGTGGTAGTCCCAAGAGCTACAGAGAAGCCCTCTTCAAAGGAAGCATCCAACCCTCTCATGGCAGAAAGGTCAGCAAATACAACTATTTGCAGGCCTTGCTGCATGTGGGGCCTGAGTTGAGTCTCTCTCTGGAGTTGGCCAGAAAGGAAAGGTAATAACTTGTGCCCTCCCAGCCCCCTTCCTTATGAAGAGGACATAGGGGCATAGGAAGAGGGTACAGCTCCTGCCCTGCTTGGCGTATAATTGGGGCCACTGGAGCATCGGTTGAATACTCACTGCTGGTGGTGGGCACAGAGCTCCGATGGGTGAAACCTGCATAGAGAAGGAGGGAGGAGAGTAGGTAAGGGTTAAGGGAGAGGTGGGAATCAAATAGGGGTCACAGATACACTAGTGGAATGGAAGAAGTTTCAAGGAACAGGGGCCTTTGAAGATTCTCTATCAGTACTCTCAGATCAGGGAAGAAGGTACTTGGGATGAACTCAGTCCAAGATGAAGAAACTATGAAGTTCAGACATCAGTTATCACACAAAGACAACATAGCCAAGGCTTCAATGGCCAGGCAGGGAGTGTGACCTCAAGTCAGAGAGTAAGAGGCTGCCCAGCAAAGAGGAAGACTCTCCAACCACATCACAGCTGCTCACCATTGACATAGAGACTGTCCCTGTCCAGGGTGTAGGGGCCCAGCTCAGTGATGCTGTGGGTCAGCTGGCTCAGCTCCAAATACAGCTGCTCTCTGTCCAGCCCAGGGCCTGTGGGGTCAGGGCGGTGGGTGCAGATGACATCCACTCCGGTGGCTTCCCCATCCTTCTGTGGCCTAGGGAGGGCAGATAAGGGGAATGACATTAAATAGACTGCCAGGGAGGCATTATGAGATTCCTGAGGGCAGGACAGGAAGGGGACAGAGGAAATGAGACTCCTGGTGGACAGGTGAGAAGACATACTAAGATTTTCTGAATATGCTGACTTCCAGGCAGCCTGGGAATGTGAGTAGGGTCAGGAATACAAGAATTTTATAAAACTGCATTCTCATGGCATGGGGACAGGACAGCCCAGACTTGAGAAACATTAAGAGCTGGAATTGGGGATAAAAGCAAGTGGATGGGGGATGTTTATCCTGAGAGAAACCTTGGAAGATAATTTAACACCTGAAGGAGAGGGAGGTGGGGAGAAGTAAGAAATTCAGAGGGATCACCAAGGTAGAAGCCTGATCTGGCTGATGGGCCCTGCAAGTTCTCTCGGTTGACGGGGGAGGTAGTCGGATCAGAAGATATGTTGGTCCTGGAGCCACCAATGCCTGAATTCCACTTGTGCTGAGGACTTCCATAGGGAGGGAAGGAAGAAAGCTGACCAAACTCCTTGGGCCTGGGAACACTTGGGGCAGCCAGACTGGTTATTCTCAGTTCTTACCTGAGCAAGGTCAGCCTGCAGCCAGAGTACAGAGGGCCAACACTGGTGTTCTTGAACAAGGGCCTTAGCTGTGGTGGAGGAAGAGGGAGGTGAGTAGGACAGCTGAGGACATAGGAGCAAGGAAGATGTAAGGTGGGAGGGGCTGTAATCAGGGGGTGAGAATTGCATCTCTAAGGTGAGGGGAGGTGGGTGGGATCTTCTTCCATGCCTTGGAATGGGTGATGTAGATGGAACGAGACAAGGTGGGCAGGGCAGAGTGAGGTGGGCAGGGCTCTCACCAGACCCTGAAGGACCCTCTCTGTAGTGTTGAACTTCCTGGAGCCAGGCCACATGTTCTCCTCATACTGCAGGTTAGTGATGGTGAAGTTGAGGGTGAATAATATCAGGAGATGGCTGGCAGCTGTAGTGTAGGTGGGAAATAAACACTATGTTCAAAAGCAGAGAACATTTAAGAGTTTGTAATAGACTTATCTCTAAACATATGCAACCAGATTTAAAGAGAGTGATAAAATAGGTTTTCATGCCTCCCTTGACTATAATGATCAAAGTTTTTCATATAGCATGCTAAATAATAATAGTTAGATGCTGAGCACAACCTTTCATGCATATTCAGTGTTCCATAATACTAGATACTATTTATTACCTTTGTTATCACCACCATCATCATCATCACCAACACTGCGGCCATCACTTTCATTATTGTCATCACCACCACCATCAGGACCAAAACCAAGATCATCATAATCCCTATCATCCCCATCACCATCATCATCATCATCCACATCATCACCTGCACTATCACCACCAGGAACGCGGTCACCAGCACCATCACTATTTCATCCTTACCATCATAACGATCACCACCACCATCATCATCATCACAATCACCACCACCACCGCCACACAGCCATCATGATCCACATCACCACCACTGGTACCATGATCACCAACACCCTCATCACATCATCCTTAACCATCATAACCACCACCACCACCACTATCATCATCATCCTCATTGTCAGTATCACCATCACATTGTCAATCACCGCCACAATCACCACCATCACCACCACTGTCATCCTTCCTATAATCACCACCAACACTATCATCATCATCATCATCATCACATCATCATTACTGTCAAAACCACTACCATCATCAGTATCATCATCATCATCATCTTCATAATCACCATTATCATCACATCATGGTCATCAGCATCACCATCATTATTGTAATAATCTCCAGCAGCATCATCATCACCACTATCCCACATCATCCTCAAAATAAAATAAGCTCTCTGAGGGCAGAGATTTTTAACCTCTTTTGTGTTCCCTGCTTTATCTCTAGGGCCTGGCAGAGAGTGGGTGCTCAAAGAAGTTTGTTGGGTGACTCATCATCAGCAAATTTGCTATGATTTTTAATCTTTATTTAAGTAAAAAGAACAGAGATGTTGACACTCATCATGCATACTCTAATAGAGGTGTCATTGACTGGCACTTACCTGAAGGGCCAAGTAGCGAGGTTGGAGTCCTAGATGCTCCCAGATACACTGTGGGGATCCCAGGAGCTGAGGAGAAGCCCACATTAGTTAAAGCAGCAAGCTCTTTCATGGCAGAAATGCCAGCAGATAGGAGTATTTCTGCATACGGGGCTTGAGATTAGTGTCTCTCTGGAGCTGGGCCAGAGGGAAAGGGAATCATTTATACCCTCTCAGATCCTTCCCTCATGAAGAAGATATCAGGGCATAGGAGAAGCGGGTCAGCTCCTGTCCTGCTTGGAGTAGGATTTGGGTCACTGGAATGTTAGTAGAATACTCACTGCTGGTGGTGGGCACAGAGCTCCGATGGGTGAAACCTGCATAGAGAGGGAGGAAGGAGAGTGGGTAAGGGTTAAGGGAAATGTAGGGGACCAAAAGGGGTCAGTGCTATCATGGTGCAATTGAAGGAGTTTCAGGGAACATGGGCTTTGAGGATTCTCTATAAGCACCCTCAGATCAGGGAAGAAGGTCCTGAGGATGAAGGTCTCCAGTACAAGATGAAGAAGAAACCATGAAGTTCAGATTAGTCATCAAATACAGACAACATGGCCAAGATTTTAATGGCCAGGCAGGGAGTGTGACCTCAAGACAGAGAGTAGAGGCCTGCTCAACAAGGAAGAAGAAACTCCAACCACATCACAGTTGCTCACCATTGACAAAGAGGCTGTCGTTGTCCAAGGCATAGGGGCCCAGCTCAGTGATGCTGTGGGTCAGCTGGCTCAGTTCCCAATACAACTGCTCTCTGTCCAGCCTAGGGCTTTTGGGGTCAGGGTGGTGGGTGCAGATGGCGTCCACTCCAGTGGCTGCCCCATCCTTCTCAGGCCTGGAGAGGGCAGGTGAGGGGAATAATAATAAAGTTTTGTCTAGGGAGGAGTCCCAAGATTGCTGAGTGAAGGACAGGAAGGGGCCACAGGAAATGAGAAGCCTGGTACACAGATGAGAAGCCACACTTAGCTTCTCTGAGTGCACTGACTACTGTCCAGCTTGTTACAGTGAGCATACTTGTGGATACAAGAATTTTTATAACATTGCAGTGTGGCTCTTGCATTCTCATGGCATGGGGACAGGACAGCTTAGATTTGAGACAGGTGAAGAGCTGGAATTGGGAATGAAACAAGTGAATGAGGCATGTTTGTCTTGAGAGAAATCCTAGTTAGAGAATTTAACACCTAAAGGCAAAGGAGGTGGGGAAAAAAGAGGGAATTCAGAGGGATGGCCAGGGTGAAAGTCCAATCTTTCTGATGGACCCTGTGGAAATTTTCAGTTGATTTGGGTGGGATGGCAGGGGGCAGTGGTAATATTGGGACACAGATTAGTCTTGGAGCCACTGTTCCTTGAGTTCCATCTTTGATGAGAATAACCACCGAGAGGGCAGGAAAAAAGAAGTGCAAACTCATGGAGACTGGAAACAATTGGGGCAACAAAGGTTGGCAATTCTAAGGTCTCACCTGAGCAAGGTCAGTCTGCAGCCAGAGTACAGAGGGCCAACACTGGTGCTCTTGAACAGGGGCCTGAGCTGTGGGGGAGGGAGAGGGAGGTGAGTAGGATGGCTGAGGGGGTAGGGGCAGGGGACTAGTCATTGGGGCTGGCACCAGTAGGTGGGCCTGGCATCAGTGGATGGGGGCTCATGTCTCTGGGTGTGAGGGGAGGTGGGTGAGATCTTCTTCTGTGCCCTGCCATGAGTGAGAGAGGTGGGGCTAGACAAGGTGAACTGGGCAGAGTGAGATGCTTGGGGCTCTTACCAGGCCCTGAAGGACCCTCTCTGTGGTGTTGAACTTCCTGGAGCCAGGGTGCTGCATGTTCTCCTCATACCGCAGGTTGGTGATGGTGAAGTTGAGAGTGAACGGCACCAGGAGAGGGCTGGCAGCTGCCATGGAGGTGGGAAAGAAATGACATGTTCAAGAGTAGAGAACTTTATACATTTCCAAAAGGCCTGCTTCTAAACATATGCAACGGGATTTAAAGAGAGAATAAAATAAAAAGTTTCCATGCGTCCCTTGACTATAACGATAGAAGTTTCTAACCAAGCCTACTAAATAATGGTAGTAGCTAGCATACCTCTTGGTGCATATTCAGAGTTCTATAATACTAAATATTATCTGTTACTTTTATTATCAGCATTGTCATCATCAATGTCACCAACACTGTGACCCTCACTATTATTATTGTCATCACCACCAGCATCAGCACCACCCACATCAGCACCAAAATCATGACCAAAACTGTGGTGATGGTCATGAGGATGCTAGAATCATCCCCACTACCATCATCATCATCATCACCACCACCACCACAATCATCATCATTTGCATCATCATCACCAGCACCATGATTACCAACACCATTATCATATCATCATTACTCTCATCACCACCACCACCACCATCACAACCATCATCATTATAATCATCATTATCTTCATTGTAACCATCACAATCACTATTGTCAACCACTACCACAACCACCATCATCCTTACCACCATCATTCTTCCCGTAATCACCCCTACAACTATCCTCCTCATCATCACATGATTACCATCATAACCACCACCACCATCATCATCATTATTATCATTGTCAACATCATCATTAATATTGTCAATCACTACCAAAACCACCACCATCACCAACACCACTATCATCCTTCCCGTAATCACCACCACCATTGTCATCATCACAGCATCACCATTATAACCCCTGCCACCAACATCATCATCACCACCACCATCTTCATAATTATCATCCTTATCGCCATCATTATCACTAGCATCACCATTTTTATTGTCGTCATCTCCAGTAACCTCAGCACCAACAATCTCCATCACCCTCACAATAAAATAAGCTTCCTTGCAGCAGAGATTTTTAACTCTTTTGGGTCCCCTTCCTTATCCCTAGAGCCCTGCAGAAACTAGGCACTCAATTAAGTTTGTTAGATGACTCCTCATCCATAGATTCGCTAGGATATTTTATTTAAGCGAAAATGGCAGAGATGTTGACAGTCATCAGGCATACTCTAACAGAGATGCAATTGATTTGTATTTATCCGAGGGACCAGGTTTAGAAGCTGGAGTCCCAGATGTTCCCAGGTCCACTGTGGAGGTCCCAGGAGCTGAGGAGAAGGCCTCTTTAGTGAAAGTGTCAAACCCTCTCATGGCAGAAATGCCAGCAGGTAGGAGTATTCATGGACCTTGCTGCATGTGGGGCTTGAGCTGGGTCTCTCTCTGAAGAGACTTGGGCCAGAAGGGAAAGGGAATAACTTGTGCTGTCCCAGCTCCTTTGCTTATAGAGGACATAGGGGCATGTGAGGAGGGTTCAGTTCTTGCTCTGCATGGTGTAGGATCAGGCGCACTGGAACATCAGTGGAATACTCACTGCTGGTGGTGGGTACAGAGCTCCATTGTGTGAAACCTGCATAGAGATGGAGGGAGGAAGGTAGGTAAGGGTTAAAGGAGTGGTGGGGCACTATATAGGGGTGAGGGTACCCTGTTGCAATGGAAGGAATTTCCCAGAACACGAGCCATTGAAGATTCTCTATCAGCACCCTCAGATCCAGAAAGCAGATCCCCAGGAAGAACTCAGTCCAAGATGAAATAGAAACCATGGAGTTCCAACATCAGCTGTCACATACAGACAACATGGCCGAGCATTCAATAGCCAGGCAGGGAGTGTGACCTCAAGGCAGAGAGTAGAGGCTGCCCAGCAAGGAGGAAGAGACTCCAACCACATCACAGCTACTCACCATTGACATAGAGACTGTCCCTGTCCAGGGTGTAGGGGCCCAGCTCAGTGATGCCATGGGTCAGCTGGCTCAGTTCCCAGTATAGCTGCTCTCTGTCCAGTCCAGGGCTTTTGGGGTCAGGGCGGTAGGTGCAGATGGCATCCACTTTGGTGGCTGCCCCATCCTTCTTGGGCCTGGGGAGGGCAAGATTGGGGGAAGACAATACATGGATTGCCTAGGGAGGGGTCCTGAGATCCCATGGGGCAGGACAGGATGGGGCCAGAAGAAATGAGAAGCCTGGTAGAGAAGTGAGAAGCCACACTTCCATTCTCTGAGTACACTGACTCTCAGCGACTGTAAGCAGAATCATGGATGCAAGGATTTTTATAAAATTGCAAAGTGGAAACTTTTTAATAAAATTGCAAAGAGGAGAACTCATACTTGAGACAGGTAAAGAGTTGGGATGAAAGCAAGTGGACAAGGCATGTTTTCTTGGGAGAAATCCTGGGAACAGCATTTAACAGAATTTAACCACTTTTGGAAAGGCAGGTAGGGCAAAGGAGGGAATTCAGAGGGATGACCAAGGTAGAAGCCCAGTCGTGCTGATGGGCTCTGCATCTCTCAGTTGAGGTGGGAGGTGGTAGGATCAGGAAGCACATTGGTCTTGGAGCCACTGCCTGCTGGATTCCACCTGTGCTGTGGACATCTCCAGGGAGTGCAGAAAGGAAGCAGGTCAGACTTCTCAGATCAGTCAGACTGGCTGTTCTCAGTTCTCACCTGAGTAAGGTCAGTCTGCAGCCAGAGTACAGAGGGCCAACACTGGTGTTCTTGAACAAAGGCCTGAGCTGTGGAGGAGGGAGAAAGAGGTGAATGGGAGGACTGAAGTCATAGGGATGTGGTAGAAGGGAGGTGGGCAGGGCGGGCAACAGTTGGTGGGGCTGGCATCAGTGGTTGGGGCATGCATATCTGGGGGCAAGATGAGGTAGGTGAGATCTTCCATGCTCTGCAACAGGTGAGGTGGGCAGGACTGAACATGGTGAGTGGGGTAGAATGAGGTGTGTGGGGCTCTTACCAGACCCTGAAGGACTCTCTCTGTGGTGTTAAACTTTCCAGAGCCAGGGTGATGCATGCTCTCCTCATACCACAGGTTAGTGATGGTGAAGTTAAGTGTGAATAGCACCAGGAGAGGGCTGACGGCTATAGTGAAGATGGGAAATAAAGTGTTTAAAAGTAGACTAACATGTAAGAATTTGTGATAGAGGCTGGGCGCGGTGGCTCACGCCTGTAATCCCAGCACTTTGGGAGGCCGAGGCGGGTGGATCATGAGGTCAGGAGATTGAGACCATCCCAGTTAACAGAGTGAAATCCTGTCTCTACTAAAAATACAAAAAAATTGCCGGGCATGGTGGCGGGCGCCTGTAGTCCCAGCTATTCGGGAGACTGAGGCAGGAGAATGGCATGAACCCAGGAGGCGGAGCTTGCAGTGAGCCGAGATCGCGCCACTGGACCAGATCTAGCCTGGGTGATGGAGACTCCATTTCAAAAAAAAAAAAAAAAAGAATTTGTGATAGAATTGTTTCTAAACATATGCAACATGATTTAAAGTGACAAAATAAAAGGTTTTCAGGCCTCTCTTAACTATAATGGTAGATAGTTTTCATAGAGCATACTAAATAATAGTAGTTAGATGCTGAGCATAGCTCTTGGTGCATATTCAGTATTCCATACTACTAGACATTATCTACTACTTTGTCAACATCACGATCATCGTCAACATCAGCAACACTGTGACCATCACTATCATTATTGTCATCACCACCAGCATCAGCACAAAACCATGACCATCATAATCCCTATCATCCCCACCCATTGCCATCATCACACCACCAGCACCCCAACCATCATCATCCATATAATCACCACTAGCACATGGTCACTAACACCATTATCATATCATTCTTACCGTCATAACCACCATCACCACCACCACCACCATCATCATCATTATCACCATCATCACCACTATCATTATCCTTTTTGTCAACATCACGATCACATTGTCAATTACCTTCAAAACCATCACATCACCACCACCACTGTCATCCTTCCCATAATCATCACCACCACTATCGTCATCATCACCGTCAAAACCACTACCACCACCATCATCATCACCATCATCATCAGCAATGCCATCATTGTTGTCATCATGTCCACCACCATCATCACCACCACCCCTATCATTATCATCATCATCATCACAATAATATAACCTTCCTGAGGACAGAGATTTGTATTTCTTTGGTGTTCCCCGCCTTATCCCTAGGGCCCTGAAGCAGCCAGACTCTCAATAAAATTTGTTGGTTAACTTCTCATCACTACATTCACTAGGACTTTTCATCTTTATTTGAGTGAAAATGGCGGAGTTGTAGGCCAGGTGTGGTGGCTCACGCCTGTCATCCCAGCACTTTGGGGGACCAAGGCAGACAGATCACGAGGTAAGGAGTTCGAGATCAGCTTGACCAACATGGTGAAGCCCCATCTCTACTAAAAATATAAAAATTAGCTGGGCGTGGTGGCATGCACCTGTAATCCCAGCTATCCAGGAGGCAGAGGCAGGAGAATTGCTTGAACCCAGGAGGCAGAGGTTGCAGTGGGCCAAGATAGCGCCATTGCATTCCAGCCTGGGCGACAGAATAAGACTCCATCTCAAAAAAGAAAAGAAAAAGAAAAGAAAATGGCAGAGATGTTGACACTCCTCAGGCATGCTGTAATAGAGATGGCACTGAATGGTACTCACTCGTGGGTCCAGACAGGGAGGCTGGAGTTCTCGAGGTTCCCAGGTGCATTGTGGAGGTATCAGGAGCTGAGGAGAAGGTTTGCTGTATTAGTGAAAGCAGCAAACCCTCTCACGGCAGAAACACCAGCAGGTAGGAGTATTTATGGCCCCTGCTGCATGTGGAGCTTGAGCAGGATCTCCATCTGGAGATGGGCCAGAGGGAAAGGGGAATAACTTGTGCTCTCTCAGTTCCTTCCCTCATGAAGAGGATATAGGGGCATAGAAGGAGAGGAAAGCTCCTGCCCTTTATGGTGTAGGATCAGGAGCACTGGAACATCAGTTAATACTCACTTCTGGTGGTCATCATGGAGCTCTGATGGGTGAAACCTGCATTGAGATGGAGGGAGGAGAGTGGGTAAGTGTTAACAGAGTGGTGGGGTACCCGGGTGCAACAGAAGGAATTTCCCAGAACATGGGACATTGAAGATTCTCTATCAGCACCCTCAGATTTAGAAAGCAGATCCTGAGGGTAAACTCAGTCCCAGATGAAGAAGAAACCATGAGGTTTTGACCTTGGCCACCACATACAGACAACATGGCTGAGCCTTCAATAGTCAGATAGGGAGTGTGACCTCAGGCCAGAGAATAGAGGCTGCCCAGCAAGGCAGAAGAGACTCCAGCCACATCAAAGTTGCCCACCATTGACATAGAGACTGTGTCTGTCCAGGGTGTAGGGGCCCAGCTCAGTGATGCCGTGGGTCAGCTGGCTCAGCTTCCAGTACAGCCGCTCTCTGTCCAGTCCAGGGCTTTGGGGGTCAGGACGGTGGGTGCAGACAGCATCCACTCTGGTGGCTGCCCCATCCTTCTCAGGCCTGGGGAGGGCAGATGAAGCAAATAACAATTTAAAACTTGCCTCCGGGGGAGTTCTGAGATTTCCTGAGGCCAGACAGGAAGGGACCAGAGGAAATGAGAAGCCTGGGAAAGAGGTCATAAGTCACATTTAGATTCTCTGAGTGTCCCAGCTGCCAGCCAGCCCAGGACTGTGAACAGAGTCATAGATGCAAGAACTTTTTATAAAATTGCAAGGTGAAGCCTGCATTCTTATGGCGTGGAGACAAGAGTACTCAGACGTGAGACAGATGAAGAGCTGGAATAGGGGATGAAAGCAAGTGGATGAGACATGTTTGTCTTACGAGAAATCCTGGGGACAGAATTTAACAACTGGAGGAAAGGGAGGTGGGTGGAAAGGAGGGAATTCAGAGGGATGACCAAGGTAGAAGCCCAATTCTCCTGATGGACTCTGCAGAATCTCTCTGTTGATTGGGGTGGTGCCGATGGTATAGAGAGACAGATTAGTTTTGAAGCCACTGCTTCCTGAATTCCATCTTCTGTGAGGACATTCACAGGGATGGCAGGAAAAAGAAAACCAATCCAAACTCTTTGAGTCTAGGAACAATTGGGGCAGCTAGGCTAGCTCTTCTAAAGTCTCACCTGAGCAAGGTCAGTCTGCAACCAGAGTACAGAGCGCCAACACTGGTGTTCTTGAACAAGGGCCTAAGCTGTGGAAGAGGGAGACGGAGGTGACTAGGAGGGCTGGGGACATAGTGGTGGGGCACAAGTGTGGCGGACGCAGCTGGCACCAGTGGGCAGGGCTTGTGTCTATGGGGTAGGTGGATGGGATTTTCTTCCATGGCCCTGGCATGGGTAATGTTGTTGGGACCAGGTAAGGTGAGTGGGGCAGAGTAAGGTGGGCAGGTGTCTCACCAGACCCTGAAGGACCCTCTCCGTGGTGTTGAACTTCCTGGAGCCAGGGCGACCCATGTCCTCCTCATACCACAGGTTATTGATGGTAAAATTGAGGGTGAATGGCAGCAGGAGAGGGCCAGTGCCTGTAGTAAAAGGTGGGAAACAAACACTATTGCGTTTGTATTTTTAATCAGTTGCATATAGTTAAAATAAGTCTATTGAAAACTCCTCAAGGTTCTCGACTTTTGCAATAGACTTGAAGAATGCAATAAATTTATTTTTAATCATATGCAACAGAATTTAAAATGAATGAAAAATAAAAGGTTTCTGTGCCCTTCTTGATATAAATTATTTTTTTAAAAAACATATTAAATAATACTTGTTAGATTCTGAACTCAACTTTTGGTGCATATTCAGCGCTGAAAAATATCAGATATTACCTGTTACCTTTGTCATCACCATTATCATCATCATAATCATGATCATCATCATCATTATTGTCAGCATCAGCACCACCACTATCACCACCATGATAATCCCCATCAATGCTATCACAAACATCATTATCACCATTGTCATCTCATCATTACCATCATAATCACCACCACAGTCATCATCTGAATAATCATCATTATCACGATCACTGTCATCATAATCACCATCGTCATCATTATTGTCATCCTCAGTAACACCACCATCACCAATGTCATAATCTACATCAACACCACCACAAACATCATCATCATCATCACCATAATCACATCATCATTACCATCATAACCAGCAACATTATTGTCATCATCCAAACAGCCATCATCATCTTTACCATCATCATCACCATTGTTATCATCATCACCACTCCAACATCATCCCCACAGTCAATACAACTGTCATCATCATCATTGTTATTATAATTATTGCCAACATCCCCATAATTATTGTCAATTGTAATCCCCACCACCACCACCACCATCATTCTTCCCATGATTACCCCCACCATAATCATCATTATCCTTACCATCATCACCACCACCACCACCACCACCACTGCAGTCATCATCACCGCCACCCCCATCAACATCATCACAATAATATAAGCTCATTGAGGGCAGTGTTTTTTCTTTTTTTGTTCCCTGATGTATATCCAGGTCCTGATACACAGGCAGTGCTCAATGAACTTAGTTGGTTGACCTATGGTTACTAGATTTACTATGAATTTCCATCTTTAGTTGAGTGAATAACGACAGAGATGTTTACACTCATCAACCATGCTCTAAATATCATTGACTGGTATTTACCTGTGGGGCCAGGGAGGGATGATGGAGTCTCAGAGGTTTCCAGCTGTACTGTGAAAGTCCCAGGAGCTGAGGAGAAGCCCTCATCAGTGAAAGGAGCAAGCGCTCTCATGGAAGTAATGCCAGCAGGAGGGACTATTCATGGGGATTTTTGCCTGTAGGGCTTCCACTGGGATTCTGGTTAGCTGGGGCAGTGGGGATGGGGAATAATTTTTGCCCTCTATGTTCCTTCCCATATGGAAAGGACATAAGGGCTTATGAATAGGGGTCAGCTCCTGCTAAGTTTGATGTAGGATTGGGGCCACTGGAACATCAGTAGAATACTCACTGCTGGTGGCAGAAACAGAGCTCCGCTGGGTGAAACCTGCATAGAGGGAGGGAGGAATGTGAATAAGAGTCAAGTGGGAGGTAGGGAATCAAACAAAAGTCAGGACTACCCTGATGGAATTAAAGGAGTTTCATGGAACAGGGACATTTGGAGATTCTCTGTCAGAATCTGAGTATCAGGGAAGAAGGTACTAAGGATGAAATCAGTTCAAGATAAAGAAGAAATCATGAAATCGTGACATCAATCACCACATACAGACATGTCCTAGCCTTCAGTGTCCAGGCAGGGCATGTGACCTCAAGTCAGAGAGTAGAGGCTGCCCAGCTAGGAGAAAGAGACTCTAACCACATAACAGCTGCTTACCATTGACATAGAGACTATCCCTGTCCAGGGTGTAGGGGCCCAGCTCAGTGATACTGTGGGTCAGCTGGCTCAGCTCCCAGTATAGCCGCTCTCTGTCTAGCCCAGGGATTTTGGGGTCAGGGTGGTGGGTACAGATGGCGTCCACTCTGGTGGCTGCTCCATCCTTCTCAGGCCTAGGGAGAGGTGGGGAGGGGAATGGCAATAAATGAATTGCCTAAGGAGAGATCCTGAGATGGCAGAGTGAAGGACAAAAAGGACAGAGGAAGTAAAAAGTCTATTACAGAGGTGGGAAGCAATACTTAGATTCTCTGAGTGCACTGGCCGGCCTGGGACTGTGAGCATAGTTGTGGATGTAATAGTTTTCCCAAAATGGCAGGGCGGATCCTGCATTCTTAAAGCCTGGAAACAGGAGAGCTCAGATTTGAGATAGGTGAAGAGCTGGAATTGGGGATGAAAGCAAGTGGTTGAGGCATGTTTGTCTTGAGAGAAATCCTGGTTACAGAATTTAACACCTAAAGTCAATGCAGGTGGAGGGAAAACAGGGAATTCGGAGGGATGGCCAGGGTAGAACTCCAGTCCTGTTGATGGACTCTGGAATTTCTCAGTCTGTTTGGAAGTGGGGGCGGGGGCACTGCTAATACCAGGAGACAGGTTAGTCCTGGAGCTACTGTTTCCTGAATTCCATCTTTGATAAGAATAATCACAAAGAGGACAGGAAAAAAGAAGTCCAAACTCATTGAGACTAGGAACAATTGGGGCAGCCAGGCAGGAAATTCTAAGGTCTCACCTGAGCAAGGTCAGTCTGCAGCCAGAATACAGAGGGCCAACATCCGTGCTCTTGAACAAGTGCTTGAGCTGTGGAGGAGGGAGAGAGAGGTCAGTGGCAGGGCTGAGGAGGTAGGGGCAGGGCAGAAGTGAGGTGGGTGGGGCTGGCTCTAGTTGGTAGAGCTGACATCAGTAGGTTGGATGGGGCTTTTATCTCTTGGGGTGAGGGGAGGTGGGTGAGATCTTCTGTGGCCGTATAGATACATAGGTGGGACTAGGTAAGATGGGTAGGGCAGAGTGAGATAGGTGGGGCTCTCACCAGACCCTGCAGAACCCTCTCCGTGGTGTTGAACTTCCTGGAGCCAGGGTGACCCATGTTCTCCTCATACTGTAGGTTAGTGATGGTGAAGTTGAGTGTGAATGGCACCAGGAGAGGGCTGGTGGCTATAGTGAAGGTGGGAAATAAACACTATGTTTGAAAGTAGAGAACATTTAAGAGTTTGCAATAGACTTATTTCTAAATATATGCAACAGGATTTAAAATGAGTGATAAGACAATTTTGACTATTATGATTAGATGTTTGTTTGACTAGACGCACATTAAATAATTGTAGTTGAGATGCTGAGCATAGTCCTTGGTGCATATTCAGTGTTCCATAGTGCCAGACACTATCTAGTGCCATTGTTAACACCAACTCATTTTCAATATCACCATGATTATCTCCATGAGTATTACTGTCATCATCATCACCATTAGCACCAACCCCGCCACTACCAGCACCACCATCATCATCATCATCATTACCACCACAACCATCATCATCCTAATCATCACCTCCATCACCATTTTCATCATCACCATCATCATTGTCAATATCACCATGCTTATCACCATCAGTAGTATTATTGTCATCATCACCACCACCATCATCATTATCCTCATCATCCCCATCACCAGCAGTGCTATCATCATCGCCATCTTCATTACCATCAGTGTCAACATCACCATCATTTTTGTCAATCACCACCACCATAAGTATTACTGTCTTCACATAATTATTATCATCATAACCACTACCCCCACCATTGTCATCATCCTCATCATTGTCATAATAATTAGCATCATCACCACCATCATCTATATCATGATCATTATCATCATCATCATCACCATCACCACCATCATCATCACCACCACTTACATCATCATCATCATCACAGGAATATAAACTATCTTAAGCAGAGATTGCTATCTATTTCTATGCTCCCTGCTGTATCTTCAGGGCCTGGCACATAGTAGGTGCTCAATAAAGTTTACAGGTTAACTCCTCATCACTAGATTTACTATGACTTTTATCTTTATTTAAGTGCATAATGGCAGAAATGTTTATATTCATCAGGAATGCTCTAATGGAGATGCCACTGGCTGATACTTACCTGTAGTTTCAGGGAGGGAAGACAGGATCCCAGAGGTTCCCAGGTTCACTGTGGAGGTCCCAGGAGCTAAGGAGAAGCCCTTATCAGTGAAAGCAGCAAGCATTCTCATGGCAGAAATGCCAGCAGGTAGGACTAGTATGAGGCTTGCTGCATGTGGGTCTTGAACTGTGTTTCTCTTTGGGCACAAGGGAGAAGGAATAACTTGTGCTCTCCCAGCACCTTCTCTCATGAAGAGGACATAAGTGTGTATGAGGAGGGCTCAGCACCTGCCCTGCTTGGAGTAGAATTGGGGGTACTGGAACATCAGTTGAATACTCACTGTTGGTGGTTGGTATGGAGCTCCAATGAGTGAAACCTGCAGAGAGAGGGAAGGAGGATAGTGGGTAAGGGTTAAGGAGAGGTGGGGGGATGAAATAGAAATCAGGGCTACCCTGGTGGATTAGAAGGAGTTTCATGGAACAAGAGCCATTAAAGGTTCTCTATCAGCACATTCACTTCAGGGTCCAAGGTCTGGAGGATGAACACAGTACAAGATGCAGAAAAAAAATAATGAAGTTCTAACATCAATCATCACATGCAGACAACATGGCAGAGATTTCAACGTCCAGACAGGAAGTGTGACCTCAAGCCAGAAAGGAGGGGCTTCCCAGCAAGAAGGACGAGAATCCAACCACATCAAAGCTGCTCACCATTGACATAGAGACTGTCCCTGTCCAGGGTGTAGGGGCCCAGCTCAGTGATGCCATGGGTCAACTGGCTCAGCTCCCAGTACAGTTGCTCTCTGTCCAGTCCAGGGCTTTGAGGGTCAGGGCGGTAGGTACAGATGGCATCCACTCTGGTGGCTGCCTTGTCCTTCTCTGGCCTGAGGAGGTTAAGTGGGTGGAGGAGGTGACAATGAAAGGATTGCCCAGGCAGGGGTTCTGAGATTCCTGAGGGAAGGGCAGGGAGGGGACAGAGGAAATGAGAAGCCGGGGAGAGAGGTGAGAAGCCACAATTAATTTCTCTAAATGCACCAACTCCTAGCCAGCCCTGGATTGGGAGCAGAGTCATGGACACAAGAATATTTATGAAATTGCAAGGTGAAACTTCCAGTTTGATAGCACGAAGACAGGAGAGCTCAGACCTGAGACAAGTGAAGAGCTAGAATCAGAGATAAAAGCAAGTGGAAAACCCACCTTTCTCTTAAGGGAGACCTTGGGAACAGAATTTTAAAACTTAAGGGAAGGGATAAGGAGGAATGGAAGGTATTAAGAAGGATGAGTGGAGTAAGAACCCAATCTTGATGATGGGCTCTGCAGAATCTGTCACTTGAGTGGGGAAGTGCTAGGATCAGGAGACACATTCTTTCTTGAAGCCACTGCCAACTGAATCCCACTTCTGCTGAGGACGCTCACAGGGAGGGCAAGAAGGATGCTGCTGGGGCCTGGGAACACTTGGGTAAGCCCTGATTGGCTATTCTAAGGTCTCACCTGAGCAAGGTCAGTCTGCAGCTGGAGTACAAAGGGCTGACACTGGTATTCTTGAACAAGGGCCCCAGCTGTGGAGGAGGGAGAGAGAGGTGATTGGGAGGGGTGATGAGGAGGGGCAGGGCAGAAATGAGACAGGTGGGGCTGACACCAGTGGGTACGGCTTGTGATTTGGGGTCAAAGGTGATTCACATGGGATCTTCTTGTACATCCCTGGCATGGGTGATGCAGGTAGAATCTAGTAAGGTGGGCCAGGCAGTTAGATGGGTTGGACTCTCACCAGACCCTGTAGGACCCTCTCCGTGGTGTTGAACTTCCTGGAGCCAGGGTGTCGCATGGCCTCCTCATACTGCAAGTTGGTGATGGTGAAGTTGAGGGTGAATGGCAGGAAGAGAGGACCAGGCACTGTAGTGTGGGTAAGAAACAAACACTATGTTCAGAAGTACAGAAATTATGGATTTGCAATAAAATTATTTTTAAATATACACAGCATTAAACAGGATGGACAAAATGAAGATTTTTGATCCCTCCCTTAACTATAACGATAGAATTTAAAAAGACACATAGCATATCATATCAGTTGGATGTTGAGCCTAGCTTTCATTGTATGTTCATTGCTCAATAATGTCATACCTCATCCCTTACCTTTGTTACCACCATCATAATCACCATCATTGTCACCTACAGCATCATTATGGTCATCATCATTGCCACCACCACCACCATAATAATCCCCATAATCACCACCAGCACAACCATCACCACCACCATCATCATCATCACCATCATTACTGCCATCATCACTGCCACCACCATCACCATGATAATCCCCATTGTCATCATCATTGTCACCCACACCATAATAATTGTGATCACTGCCACCAACACCACCACCATAATAATCTCCATCATCACCACCAGCACCAGAACCACCATCATCATCATCACCATCACTGTCACCCACACCATCCTTGTCACCACCACTGCCATGACCACCACCATGATCATCTCCATCACAACCACCAGCACTATCATTTATCACACTCAACACATCATCATCATCATAACCCCACCATTGTCATCATCCTCACCACCTTCATCATCATTATCATCATTGCTACCATAAGCATCACCATCATCATCAAAACTGCCACCACTATCATCATCACCACCCGCCACAGTCATCATCACAAGAATATAAGCTCTCTGATGGCAGAGATTTTTATCTGTTTTGTATACCTGCTGTATCCCCAGGGTCTGGCACAGAGGAGGTGATCAATCACATTTGTAGGTTGACTTATCATCACTAGATTTACTATGATTTTTACCTTTATTTGAGTAAATAATGGCAGACATGTTTCTGCTCATCAGTCATGCTCTAATAGAGGTGCCATTGACTGGTGCTCACCTGTGTGGCCAGGGAGGGAGGCTGGAGTCCCAGAGGTTTCCAAGTGCACTGCAGAGGTCCCAGGAACTGAGAAGAAGCCCTCATTACTGAAAGCAGCAAACCCTCTCATGGTGGAAATGCCAGCAGGTAAAACTATTATGGGTCCTGCTGCATTTGAGGTTTGAGCTGAGCGTCTCTATGGAGCTAGGGCACAGGGGAAAGGGAATAGACTGTGCCCTTGAAGCCTTTTCCCTCATGAAGAGGACATAAAGGGATAAGAGGTAATGCCAGCTCCTGCCCTGCTTGGTATAGGACTAGGGGGACTGGAACATCAGTAAAATACTCACTTCTGGTGGTTGGCACAGAGCTCTGATGGGTGAAGCCTGCAGAGAGAGGCAGGGAGGAGAGTGGGTAAGGGTTAAGGAGAGGTCAGACCAAATAGGGGTCAGGGTTACCCTAGTGCAATGAGGAAAGTTTCATGAAGCATGGTCATTGAGAATCTTCACCAGTACCCTCACATGGGGGAAGAAGGCCTTGAGGGTAAAATCCGTGCAAGATGAAGATGAAACCGTGAAGTTGAGACCTCAATCATCACATATAGAGCACATCATCAAACCCTCAATGGTCAGACAGGGCATGTGACCCCAGGACAGACAGTAGGGTCTACCCAGCTAGGAGGAAGAGCCTCCAGTCACATCATGGCTGCTCACCATTGACATAGAGACTGTCTCTGTCCAGGGTGTAGGGGCCCAGCTCCGTGATGCTGTTGGTCAGCTGGCTCAACTCCCAGTATAGCCGCTCTCTGTCCAGTCCAGGGCTGGTGGGATCAAAGCGGTGGGTGCAGATGGCGTCCACTCCAGTGGTTGTCCCATCCTTCTCAGGTCTGGGGAGGGCAAGAGTGGGGAATGGCAATTAATGGATTGCCTAGGGAGGGGGTCTTGAGCTTGCTGGGTGAAGGACAGGAAGGGGTCAGAGGAATTGAGAAGCCTGGTACAGACGTGAGAGAAGTCACACTTTGATTCTCTAAGTGCTTTGACTCCCTGCCAGCCTGGGATTGTGAACAAAGTCATGGATGCGAGGATTTTTATGAAATCACAAGGTGCAACCTGCATTCTCACAGCAATGGGGAAAGAAGAGCTGAATCCTGAGACAGGAGAAGAACAGGAATTAGGGGTGAAATCAAGTGGATGAGGCCTGTTTGGCAGAAATTCTGGGGACAGACTTTAACTACTGAAGGAAAGGGAGGTGGAGAGAATTTAGAGGGGTGATGAGGGTAAGGGCTCAATTCTGCTGATGGACTCTGAAGAATGTGTCAGTTGAGGTGGGAGGTGGTAGAATCAGGAAACAAACTGGTTCTGGAGCCATTGCCTCCTGAATTCCATCTGTGCTGAGGCCATTCCACGGTAGGGCAGGAAGGTGACCAAACTTTTTGGGCCTGGGAACAATTGGGGAAACCAGGCTGGAAATTCTAAGGTCTCACCTGAGCAAGGTCAGTCTGCAGCCAGAGTACAGAGGGCCGACACTGGTGCTCTTGAACAAGGGCTTGAGCTGTGGAGGAAGGGGAAGGAGGTGAGTGGGTGGGCTGAGGTGTAGGGATGGGGCAGACATGAGGTAGGAGGGGCTGGCATCACCAGTTGGGGCTTGCATCTCTGGGGCCAAGGAGTGGTGGGTGAGATCTTCCATGGCCCTGGCATGCGTGATATAAGCAGGACTGGTAAGGTGGTGGAGCTCTTACCAGACCCTGCAGAACCCTCTCCGTGGTGTTGAACTTTCTGGAGCCAGGGTGTTGCATGTTTTCCTCATAATGCAAGTTAGTGATGGTAAAGTTGAGGGTGAATGATATCAGGAGAGGGCCAGCGGCTGTAAAGGGGTTGGGAAATAAACACAATGTTCAAAAGTAGAGAAATATATAACAGTTTGCAATAGACTTATTTTTAAACATATGCAGCAGCATTTCATGTGGATAAAAAATAAAAGATTTTCATGCCTCTCTTGACTACAATAATAGAAGTTTTTCATAAATAAGCATATTATATAATTGTAATGAGATGGTGAACATAGTGCTTGGTGCATATTTAGTGCTCAGTAATGTCAGATGCTATTTTTTACCTCTGTTATTGCCATCTTTGTCATCAACATAACCATAGTTGTTGCCATGGCTATCATCGCTTTCATCACTATCAACGTCAGCACCACCACTACCACCATCCTCATCACCATCACCACCACAGAGATCATAATCAGCATCATCACCACCAGCACCATCATATTATTATTATTGCCAGGATAATCACCAACACAATCATCATCATCATCATCATCATCATCTTCATTATCCTCATTGTCAACATCACAATCATCATTGGCAGTCGTCATCACTACCATCATCATCACCACCACAATCACCTCAAATATCACCAGTATCACCACAATCATCCCAAACATCACCACCATCACATCATCATTCCTGTTATAATCAGCACCACTATTATCACCATCATCTTCATCACCATCTCCATAATCATCATCACCATCACCAACATCATCAGCAGCATTGCCATCTTTGTAGTCATCTCCATGATATTATCATCATCTCCATCCCCCCCACTATTATCATCACTGCCACCCTTATCATCCTCATCATCACAAGAATATAAGCGCTCTGAAGGAAGATATTTTTATCTCTTTTGTATTCCCTGCCACATTCCATAGGTCTGGCACAGAGTAAGTGCTCAATAAAGTGTGTTGGTTGCATCAGCTGCACTAGATTTGATTTGCTATGATGTTTCATCTTAATTTGCATGAAAATGACAGAGATGAAGACACTTACCATTGACTGGTATCATTGACTGGTGCTCACCTGTGTGGCTGGAGAGGGAGGATGGAGTCCCAGAGGTTGCCAGGTACACTGTGGGGGTCCCAGGAGCTGAGAAGAAGCTCTCATCAGTGAAATTAGCAAGTACCCCCATGGCAGAAAGGCCAGCAGGTAAGACTATTATGAAACTTGATGCATATGGAGTTTGACCTAGATCTCAGTCTGTAGCTGGGGCAGAAGGGAGGATGAATCCCTTCTGCCTTCCCAGCTCCTTCTCTTAAGAAGAGGAGCTATGGTTTTATGTGGAGAAGGGTCAGCTCCTGCTCTGCTTTGTGTAGAACCAGGGACATGAGATTATCAGTTGAATACTCACTACTGGTAGTGGGCACAGATTTCCGATGGGTGAAACCTGCAGAGAGAGAGGGATTAACCTGAGTAAGGTTAAGGTAGAGGTGGATAACCAAATAGGGGTCAGGGCTACCCTGGTGAAATGGAACCGGGGCTGCTGGAGGTTTTCTATCAGGATCCTCACATCAGGGAAGAAAACCCTGAGGGTAAACCCAGTCTTCAACATAAAGAAGAAGCCATGATGTTCTGACATCAACTATCAAATATAGACAACATTGTCAAGCTTTCAATGGCCAGGCAGTGAGTGTGACTTCAAGCCAGGGAGTAGAGGTTGCCCATCACAGAGGAAGAGCCTCCAACCACATCACAGCTGCTCACCATTGACATACAGACTGTCTCTGTCCAGGGTGTAGGGGCCCAGTTCAGTGATGCTGTGGGTCAGTTGGCTCAGCTCCCAGTAGAGCTGCTCTCTGTCCAGCCCAGGTCTTTTGGGATCAGGGTGGTAGAGGCAGACAGCGTCCACTCCAGTGGCTGCTCCATCCTTCTCAGTCCTGGGGAAAGGAGGTGGGGAGAACGACAATGAAAAGATTACCTAGGACAGGTCTTGAGATTGCTGATGGAAGGACAGCAAAGGAGAAGGGAAAATGAGAAACCTGGGAAAGAGGTGAGAAGCCACACTTAGATTCTCTGAGTGCACGGACTACCAGCTTGCTTGGGACCATAAACAGAGTCAAGGATACAACAATTCTTATAAAAGTGCAAGGGTGAAATTTGCATTCTCATGGCATGGGAAAAAAGAGCCCAGACTTGAGACCACTGAAGACCTTGAAATGGGGATGAAAGCACATGGGTGAGGCATGATTGTCTTGAAAGAAATTCTGGGGACAGAATTTAACACCTAAAGGAAAGGGAGAGAGAGGGAAAGGTAGGGGCTCAATCCTGATGATGGACCACGCAGATTCTCTCTGTTGAGGTGAGGTGTGGGGGTGTTACTATCAGGAAACACACCGGTCCTGAGGCCAGTGACTCCTGAATTCCACCTTTGGTGAGGATATCCCTAGGAAGTGTATAAAGGAAGATGTGCAAAGTCTATTGGAGTGAGAATAGTTGGGACAGCCAGGCTGGCTATTCTAGCCTCACCTGAGAGAAGTCAGTCTGCAGCCAGAGTACAGAGGGCCAACACTGGAGTTCTTGAATATGGGACTCAGCTGTGGAGGAGGGAGAGAGAGGTGAGTAGGAGGGTTAAGGTCCCTGTGTGGGGGCAAAAGTGAGGTGGGTGGGGAAGGGCCCAGTGGGCATGGCTGGCCTCAGTGGGTGAGGCTTGCATCTCTGGGGATGAGGGCAAGGTGGGTGCGATCTTCTTCCATGGCCCTGGCACAGATGTTGTAGGAGGGGCTGGGTGTCTGGAGTCGGGGAGAGCGAAGAGGTCAGGGTACTAACCAGACCCTGCAGGACCCTCTCTGTGGTGTTGAACTTCCTTGATCCAGGGCGATGCATGTCCTCCTCATACTGCAGGTTGGTGATGGTGAAGTTGAGGGTGAACGGCACCAGGAGAGGGCCAGCAGCTGTAGTGGGAGGGGGAAACAAACATTATGTTCAAAGTGGAGAAAATAGGAATTTGCAACAGACTTATCTTTAAACATGTGCAACATTTAAATTGAATGACTAAATAAATATTTACCATGCATCCCTTTCCTATAATGACAGAATTTATTTACTTATTTTTTTGAGATGGAGTCTCACTCTGTCACTAGGCTGGAGTGCAGTGGCACCATCTTGGCTCACTGCAACCTCTGCCTCCCGGATTTAAGCAATTCTCCTGCCTCAGCCTCCCAAGTAGCTGGGACTACAGGCATGCACCACCACGCCCGGCTAATTTTTGTATTTTTAGTAGAGATGGGGTTTCGCCATGTTGGCCAGGATGGTCTCGATCTCTTGACCTCGCGATCCACCCACCTCGGCCTTCCAAAATGCTGAGATTATGGACGTGAGCCACCGCACCTGGCCTGACATAATTTATTTTTTAAAGGATGCTTTATAATAATAGTTAGATGCCGAGCGTAGCTCTTGGTGCATATTCAGAGCTTAATATTGTCTGATGTTATCTGTTATCTTTTTTATTGCCATCATTATTGTTGCTATCATTGTCACCATCACCATCATTATTATCATCATCACTACCATGATAATCCCAAGCATGACCACCACAAACATCATCATCACCACAGACAACACATCACCATTATCATCAAAACCCCACGACCATCACTGGCATCATCCTCATCACCATCATTGTCATTTTCATCAACATCACCAGTCTCATCATCACCATCTCAAACAGCACCCCAAAAAAGGAAAAATAAAAATAAATAAACAGCACTACCATCACCATCACCATCATCACACGCAACACATCATCACGAATATCGTAACTGTTACTGACATCCTCATGTCCATCATCATCATGGTCAGCACCACCACCACCATTATCACCAACAGCATCACTATCATCATCGTCATCATAATCATCATAAACAGCACCACCACCACCATCATCATCACACTCAACATATCATGATTAATATCATAACCACCACCACGATCATCATCATCATCACATAAACAGAAGCTCACTGAGGGCAGACATGTTTTTATTGGTTTTATTTTCCTTGTTGTATCCCTAGGGTCTGGTACACTATAGGTGGCCAATTAATTTTTTTGGTTCACTCACTATCACTAGACTTACTATGATCTTCTATCTTTATTTGAATGAAAATGGCACAGATGTTTACATTCATCAGGCATGCTCTAACAGATGCCATTGACTGGTACTTACTTGTGGGGCTGGGGACGGGGGATGGTGTCCCTGAGATTCCAAGGTCCACTGTGGAAGTCCAAGGAGCTGAGAAAAAGTCCTCATCAGTGAAAGCAGGAAGCACTCTCATGACAGAAATGGCAAGAGGGGAGACTATGGGGTCTGCTGCCTGTGTGACTAGAGATGGGTCTTTCTTTGGAGCTGGGGCAGAGCAGAGCTTGAGTAACTGCTGTCCTCCTATCTCCTTTGCTGAAGAAGAGGACCTATGGGTTTACGAGGAGGGGTAGCTCCTGTTCTGTTTGGTATAGAATCGGGGCATGTGGACATGACTTAAATACTCACTGCTGGTGGTGGGCACAGAGCTCCGATAGGTGAAACCTGCATAGAGAAGGAGGCAGGAGAGTGTGTAAGGGTTAAGGAGACGTTGGCGACCAAATAGGGGTCAAGGCTACCCTAGTGCAAAGGAAAGAATTTCATCGTACAGGGGCATTTGAAGATTTCCTATCAGCATCCTCACATCAGGAAAGAATGCCCTGAGGGAATACGTCCACAGTGATAAAGAAACTATGAAGTCCAGACCTTAGTCATCCCATGTAAAACACATGACAGAATTTTCAATTGCCAGGCAGGAAGCGTGACCTCTAGTTAGAGATTAGAGGCTGCTCAGCAAGAAGGAAGAGACTTCAACCACATCACAGCCACTCACCATTGACATAGAGACTGTTCCTGTCCAGGGTGTAGGGGCCCAGCTCTTTGATGCCATTGGTCATCTGGCTCAGCTCCCAGTACAGCTGCTCCCTGTCCAGTCCAGGGCTTTGAGGGGTAAGGCGGTGGGTACAGATGGCATCCACTCCAGTGGCTGCCCCATCCTTCTCAGACCTGGGGAAGGTAGGTGGGGAGAATGACAATGAAAGGATTACCTAGGACGGGTCTTGAGATTGCTGAGAGAAGGATGGCAAGTAACCAGAGGAAATGAGGAACCTGGCAAAGAGGTGAGAAGCCACACTTAGATTCTCTGAGTGCGCAGACTACTGGCTTGTTGGGACTGTGAGCAGAGTCATGAACACAACAGTTTTGATAAAAGTGCAAGGTGAGGCTGGGCACGGTGGCTCATGCCTGTAATCCCAGCACTTTGGGAGGCCGGGGCAGGTGGATCACCTGAGGTCAGGAGTTTGAGATCAGCCTGACCAACATGGAGAAACCCTGTCTCTGCTAAAAATATAAAATTAGCTGGGTGTGGTGGCCCGTGCCTGTAATCCCAGCTACTCGGGAGGCTGAGGCAGGAGAATCGCTTGAACCTGGGAGACACAGGTTGTGGTGAGCCGAGATCGTGTGATTGCACTCCAGCCTGGGCAACAAGATTGAAACTCTGTCTCAAAAAAAAAAAAAAAAAAAAAGCAAGGTGAATCCTGCATTCTCACGGCATGGGGACAGGACATCCCAGATTTGAGGCCAGTGAAGAGCTGGAAATGAGGTTGAAAGCACGTGGCTGAGGCATGATTGTCTTGAGAGAAATCCTGGAGACAGAATTTAAGAACTAAATGAAAGGGAGGGGCAGGGAAAGGAGGAAATTCAGAGGGATGACTGGGGTAGGGGCTCAATCCTGATGATGGACCATGCAGATTCTCTCTGTTGAGGTGGGGTGTGGGGGTGTTACTATCAGGAGATACAGTGGTCCTGAAGCCAGTGACTCCTGAATCCCATCCTTGGTGAGGATATCCCTAGGAAGTGCAGCAAGGAAGCAGTGCAAAGTCTTTTGGAGTGAGAATAATTGGGACAGCCAGGCTGGCTATTCTAGCCTCACCTGAGGGAGATCAGTCTGCAGCCAGAGTACAGAGGGCCGACACTGGAGTTCTTGAACAACGGACCAAGCTGCGGAAGAGGGAGAGAGAGGTGAGTAGGAGGGCTAAGGTCCCTGTGTGTGGGTGCAGAAATAAGGTGAGCGAGGCATGGCCCAGTGGGTGAGGCTGGCTTCAGTGGGCATGGCTGGCCTCAGTGGGCGAGTCTTGCATCTCTTGGGGCAAGGACGAAGTGGGTACATTCTTCTCCCATTACCCTGGCTTGGATGTTGTAAGAGGCACTGAGTATCTGGGTCAGGGCAGAGTGAGGAGAACGGGGCACTAACCAGACCCTGCAGGACCCTCTCTGTGGTGTTGAACTTCCTGGAGCCAGGGTGATGCATGTCCTCCCCATACTGCAGATTGGTGATGGTGAAGTTGAGGGTGAACGGCACCAGGAGAGGAACAGCTGCTGTAATGGGAATTGAAAATAAATACTGTGTTCAAATTAGACAAAATAGGAGTTTGCAATATAATTATCTTTAAATATAGGCAGCATTTCAATTGACTGACAAAGTAAATATTTACCATGCCTCCCTTGTCTTCAATGACAAAATTTATTTTTTAAAGGATATTATATAAAATAGTAGTTAGATGCTGAGCGCAGCTCTTGGTTCATATTCAGTGCTCAATATTGTCTGATGTTACCTGTTATCTTTATTACTGCCATTATCATCCTTGCTATCATTGTCACAATCACAATCATTATTATTATCGCCACCACCATAATAGTCTCCACCATGACCACGACAAACATCATCATCACCACACTCAATACGTCACTATTATCATCATAACCCCATGACCATCTCTGGCATCATCCTCATCACCATCATTGTTATTGTCATCAACATCACCAGTTTCGTCATCACCATCATCAACAGCACCACCACCACCATCATCCTCACTCACATCATAACCGTCACTGACATCATCCTCATATCCATCATCATCGTGGTCGGCAACGTCAACACCATTATCATCAGCATCACTATCATCATCATCATCATCATCATCATCATCATCAACAGCATCACTACCACCATCATCAACAGCATTACCATCATGATCATCATCATAATCATGATCATGATCATGATCATGATCATCATCATCAACAACTAGCACCACCACCACTATCATCAACACATGAATAAAAAAGCTCACTGAGGGCAGAGACACTTTTACTGGTTTTGTTTTCCTTGCTGTATCCCTTGGGTGTGGTACACAGGAGGTGGCCAACAAATATTTTTGGTCCACTCACTATTACCAGATGTACTGTACTTTTCCATCTTTATTTGAGTGAAAATGGCAGAGATGTTCACACTCATCAGGCATGCTATAATAGAGATGTCATTGACTGGTACTTACCTGTGGGGCTGAGGAGGAAGGATGGAGTCCCTGAGGTTCCAAGCTCCACTGTGGAAGTCCCAGGAGCTGAGGAAAAGTCCTCATCAGTGAAAGCAGAAAACACTCTCATGGCGGAAATGGCAAGACAGGGGACTATTATGAGGTCTGCTGCATGTGGGCTTCAGCTGGGTCTGTCTTTGGAGCTGAGGCAGAGGGAAGCTTCAATAACTTCAGCCTTCCCAGCTCCTTTGCTCATGAGGAGGACTTATGGGTTTATGAGGAGGGGCAGCTCCTGCTTTGCTTGGTGTAGTATCAGGAGCATGTGGACATGAGTTGAATACTCACTGCTGGTGGGGGCCACAGAGCTCCAATGGGTGAAACCTGCATAGAGAAGGAGGGAAGAAATTGTGTAAGGATTCAGGAGATGTGGGGGACGCAATAGGGTTCATGGCTATCCTGGTGCCATGGGACAGGGACCATTAAAGATTTCCTATCAGCATCCTCATAACAGAGAAGAATGCCCTGAGGGAATGCAGTTCACGATAACGAAGAAACCATGAAGTCCAGAACTTTGTCACCCCATATAGAGCACATAACAGAATTTTCAACAGCCAGGCAGGGAGTGTGCCCGCAAGCCAGAGATTAGAGTCCTCCCAGCAGGGAGGAAGAGACTCCAACCACACCACATCTGCTCACCATTGACATAGAGACTGTTCCTGTCCAGGGTGTAGGGGCCCAGCTCTTTGATGCCATGGGTCAGCTGGCTCAGCTCCCAGTACAGCTGCTCTCTGTTGAGTCCAGGGCTTTTGGGGTCAAGACGGTGGGTGCAGATGGCATCCACTCCAGTGGCTGCCCCATTCTTCTCAGGCCTGGGGAAGGTAGGTGAAAGGAATGCAATCAAAAGATTAACTACGAAGGGTTTTGAGATTGCTGAGGGAAGGACAGCAAGGAACCAGAGGAAATGAGAAGCCTGGGAAAGAGGTGAGAAATCACAGTTTCTCTGAGTGCACCAACCACTGGTTTGCTTTGAACTGCAAGCAGGGTAATGGATACAAGAATTTTTATAAAAGTGCAAAGTGGCCTGGCACAGTGGCTCACACCTGCAATCCCAGCACTTTGGGAGGCCAAGGCGGGCAGATCACTTGAGGTCAGGAGTTCAAGACTAGCCTGGTCAACATGGTGAAACCCAGTCTCTATGAAAAATACAAAAATTAGCTGGGTATAGTAGCGGGTGCCTGTAATCCCAGCTACTCGGGAGGCTAAGGCAGGAGAATCACTTGAACATGGAAGGCAGAGGTTGCAGTGAGCTGAGACCAGTCTGGTGTGCAGTGAGACTACGTTTCAACAATGAAATAATAAAATAAAATAAAATAAAATAAAATAAAATAAAATAGTGCAAGTTGAAATCTGCATTCTCATGGCATGGGGACAGAGACGCCAGACTTGAGACCAGTGAAGAGCTGGAAATGGAGATGAAAGCCTGTGGATGAGGCACGATCGTCTTGAGAGAAATCCTGGGGACAGAATTTAAGACCTAAAGGAAAGGGAAGTGCAGGGACAGGAGGGAATTCAGAGGGATGATCAAGGTAGAGGCTCAATCCTGATGATGGACTATGCGGATTCTCCCTGTTGAGGTGGGGTGTGGGGGTGTTACTATCAGAAAACACATTGGTCATGAAGCCAGTGACTCCTGAATTCCACCTCTGGTGAGGATATCCCTAGGAAGTGCAGCAAGGAAGCAGTGCCAAGTCTACTGGAGTGAGAACAAGTGGGGCACCTAGGCTTGATCTTCTAACGTCTCACCTGAGCAAGGTCAGTCTGCAGCCAGAGTACAGAGGGCCGACACTGGTGTTGTTGAACACGGGACCAAGCTGTGGAGGAGGGAGAGGGAGGTGAGTAGGAGGGCTAAGTTGCATGCTGGCTTCAATGGGCATAGCTTGCATCTCCTAGGGCAAGGGTGAGGTGGGTGTGATCTTCTTCCATTGCCTGGCATGGATGATGTAGGAGGTACTGACTGTCTGGGGTGGGGCAGAGTGAGGAGGGTGGGGCACTAACCAGACCCTGCAGGACCCTCTCTGTGGTGTTGAACTTCCTGGACCCTGGGTGATGCATGTCCTCCTCGTACTGCAGGTTGGTGATGGTGAAGTTGAGGGTGAATGGAACCAGGAGAGGGCCAGCAGCTGTAGTGGAGGTGGGAAGCAAACACTATGTTCAAAGTAGAGAAAATAGGAGTTTGCAACAGACTTATCTTTAAACATATGCAGAATTTAAATTGAGTGACAAAATATTTACCATGCTTCCCTTGCCTATAACCATGCAATTTACTTTTACAAACATATATTATAAAATAGTATTTAGTTGCTGAGCACTGCTCCTGGTGCATATTCAGTGCTCAATATTGTCTGATGTTATCTATTATCTTTATTGCCATCTTCATCCTTGCTATCATTGTCACTGTCACCATCATATTATGATAATCACTGCCATAATAATCCCCATCATAACCACAACAAACATTATCATCACCACACTCAATGCATCATCATTATCATCATAACCCCGCAACAATCACTGGCATCGTCATCATCACCATCATTGTCATTGTCATCAACATAACCACTACCAACATCAATATCATCAGTACCATGGTCACCATCATAAACAGCATCACTACAATTATCACCATCATCACACTTAACACATCATCATTACCATCATAACCTTCACAACCATCACTGACAACATCCGCAAGCCCATCACCATAATCATTGGTAATATCACCACCACCATCATCAACATCATCCCACTCAACATGTCATTATTACTATCATAACCACCACCACCACCATCATCATCACATGAACACAAGCTCACTGAGGGCAGAGACGCTTTTATCGGTTTTATTTTCCTTGCTGTATCCCTAGGGTCTGGCACACTGTTGGTGGCCAATAAATTTTTTTGGTTCACTGAGTATCACTATATTTACTATGACTTTCCATCTTCATTTGAGTGAAAATGGCACAGATGTTCACATTCATCAGGCATGATCTAATAGACATGTCACTGACTGGTACTTACATGTAGGGCTGGGGAGGGAGGATGGAGTCCCTAAGGTCCCAAGTTCCACAGTGGAGGTCCCAGGAGCTGAGAAAAAGTCCTCATCAGTGAAAGCAGAAAACATTCTCATGGCAGAAATGACAAGAAGGTAGACTATTACGAGGTCTGCTGCATGTGGGCTTCAGCTGGGTCTGTCTTTGGAGCTGGGGCAGAAGGGAGCTTGAGTGACTTCTGCCTTCCCAGCTCATTTGCTCAAGAGGAGGACTTATGGGTTTAAGAGGAGGGGCCAATTCCTGCTCCACTTGATGTAGGATCAGGGGCATCTGGACATGAGTTGAATACTCACTGTTGGTGGTGGGCACAGAGGTCCGATGGGTGAAACCTGCATTGAGAAGTAGGGAAGAGACTTGTTACGGGTTAAGGAGATGTGGGAGATGCAATAGGGTTCAGGGCTATCCTGGTGCAATTAAATGAGTTTCATGGGACAGAGGCCATTAAGATTTCCTATCAGCATCCTCCCAAAAGGGAACAGTGGCCTGAGGGAATGCAGTTCACGATGAAGAAGAAACCACGAAATCTAGAACTCAGTCAGACCATGTAGAGCATATGACAGAATTTTCAGTAGGCAGGGAGGGAGCGTGAACTGAAGCCAGAGATTAGAGGTTGCACAGCAAGGAGGAAGAGATTCCTACCATATCACAGCTGCTCACCATTGACATACAAACTGTTCCTGTCCAGGGTGTAGGGGCCCAGCTCTTTGATGCCATGGGTCAGCTGGCTCAGCTCCCAATACAGCTGCTCCCTGTCCACTCCAGGACTTTTGGGGTCAAGATGGTGGGTGCAGATGGCATCCACTCCAGTGGCTGCTCCATCCTTCTCGGACCTGAGGAAGGTAGGAGGGGAAATGACAATGAAAAGATTGCCTAGGACTTGTCTTGAGATTGTTGAGGGAAACATATCAAGGAACCAGAAGAAATGAGTAACCTGGGAAAGAGGTGAGAAGCCACACTTAGATTATCTGAGTACACAGACCACTGTCTTGGTTGGGACAGAAAGCAGAGTCATGGATATAATAATTTTTATAAAAGTGCAAGGTGAAACCTGCATTCTCATGGCATGGGAACAGGAGAACCCAGACTTCAGACTAGCGGTGAGCTTGAAGGCTGATGAATGTATGTGGATGAGGCATGATTATGTTGAGAGAAATCCTGGGGACAGAATTTAACTCCTAAATGAAAGGGAGGGACAGGCAAAGGAGGGAATTCAGAGGAGTGATCAGGGTGGTGCCTCATTCCTGATGGTGGATCATGAAGATTCTGCATGTTGAGGTGGGGCATGGCGGAGTCACCATCAGGAAACAACTGGTTCTCAAGTCAGTGACTCCTAAGTTCTCTTTTTGGTGATGATATCCCTAGGAAGTGCTGCAAGGAGACAGTGCAAAGTCTTTTGGAGTGAGAACAATTGGGGCAGAGAGGCTGCCTCTTCTAAAGTCTCACCTGAGCAAAGTCAGTCTGCAGCCAGAGTACAGAGGGCCAACACAGGTGTTCTTCAACATGGGACCAAGCTGTGGAGGAGGGAGAGGGAGGTGAGTAGGAGGGCTAAGGTGTGTGTGTGAGGGGCAGATGTCAGGTGGGCAGAGCAGGCACCAATAAGAAGGCCTGGTCTCTGAGGGCGAGGCTTGCATCTCTTGGGGGCAGGAGTAATGTTGGGGCTACCTTCTTTCATTATCTTGGCATCTATGATGTAGAAGGGACTGGATATCTGGGGCTAGTCAGAGTGAGGAGGGCAGGGCACTAACCAGACTCTGAAGGACCCTCTCCATGGTGTTGAACTTCCTGGAGCCAGGGCGACGCATTTCCTCCTCGTACTTCAGGTTGGTGATGGTGAAGTTGAGGGTGAACGGCACCAGGAAGGGCCAGCAGCTGTAGTGGGAATTGAAAATAAATACTGTGTTCAAAGTAGAGAAAATAGGGGTTTGGAATAGACTTATCTTTAAACATATGCAAAATTTAAATTGAGAGAAAAATATTTACCATGTCTCCCTTACCTATAATAATGCAATTTATTTTTATAAAAGTATATTATATAATAGTAGTTAGATGTTGAGCATAACTAGTTGTGCATATTCAGTGCTCAATATTGTCTAATGTTATCTGTTATCTTTGTTATGGCCATCATCATTGTTGCTATCATTGTCATCATCACCATCATTATTATCATCATCACTATGATCATCCCCATCATGACCAACACAAACATAATCATCAGCACACTCAACACATCATCATTATCATCATAACCACATGACCATCACTGGCATCACCCTCATCACCATCATTGTTATTGACATCAGTGTCACCACTACCAACATCAACATCATCAGTACCATGGTCACCATCATAAACAACACCACCATCATAAACAGCACCACCAACATCATCATCATCATCATCACACTCAGCACATCATTACCATCATAACATTCACAACCGTCACGGACAACATCCTCATGTCCATCATCATCATTGTCAGTAACATCACCACCACCATCATCAACAGCAGTATCACAATCATAAATCATCATCACACTCAATATGTCATTATTACTGTTATAACCACCACCACCACCATCATCATCACATGAACACAAGCTCACTGAGGGCAGAAATGTTTCTATTGCTTTTGTTTTCCTTGCTATATCCCTAGGGTCTGGAACACTGTAGGTGGCCAATAAATATTTTTGGTTCACTCAGTATCACTAGATTTATTATGATTTTCCATTTTCATTTGACTGAAAATGTCACAGATGTTTCCATTCATCAGGCATGATCTAATACAGATACCATTGGCTGGTACTTACTTGTGGGGCTGGTGAGGGAGGATGGAGTCTCTGAAGTCCCAAGGTCCACTGTGGAGGTCCCAGGAGCTGAGAAAAAGTCCACATCAGAGAAAGCAGAAAACACTCTCATGGCAGAAATGGCAAGAAGGTAGACTAGTATGAGGTCTGCTGCATGTGGGCTTCAGCTGGGTCTGTCTTTGGAGCTGGGCAGAGGGGAACTTGAGTAACTTCTGCCTTTCCAGCTCATTTGCTCAAGAGGAGGACTTATGGGTTTAAGAGGAGGGGCCAGCTCCTGCTCCACTTGATATAGGATCAGGGGCATCTGGACATGAGTTGAATACTCACTGCTGGTGGTGGGCACAGATGTCCGATGGGTGAAACCTGTATAGAGAAGGAGGGAGGAGACTGGGTAAGGGTTAAGGAGATGTGGGGAACGCAATAGAGTTCAGGACTATCCTGGTGCAATTAAATGAGTTTCACGGGACAGGAGTCATTAAAGATTTCCTAGCAGCATCATCACAACAGGGAAGAGTGCCCAGAGGGAATGCCTCTCATGATAACGAAGAATCCATGAAGTCCAGAACTTAGTCATCCCATGTAGAGCATATGACAGAATTTTCAATGGCCAGGTAGGGAGTGTGCCCCCAAGCCAGAGATTAGAGGTTGCACATCAAGGAGGAAGAGACTCTTAGCATACCACAGCTGCTCACCATTGACATAGAGGCTGTTCATGTCCAGAGTGTAGGGGCCCAGCTCTTTGATGCCATGGGTCAAGTGGCTCAGTTCCCAGTACAGCTGCTCCCTGTCCACTCCAGGGCTTTTGGGGTCAAGACGGTGGGTGCAGATGGCATCCACTCCAGTGGCTGCTCCATCCTTCTCGGACCTGGGGAAAGTAGGAGGGGGAATGACAATGAAAAGATTACCTAGGACTTGTCTTGAGATTGTTGAGGGAAACATCAAGGAACCAGAGGAAATGAGAAATCTGAGGAAGAGGTGAAAATCTGCACTGAGTACATTGACCACTGTCTTGGTTGGGACTGAGAGTAGAGTCCTGGATATAATAATTTTTATAAAAGCGCAAGATGAAACCTGCATTCTCATGGCATGGGGACAGGAGAACCCAGACTTGAGAGTAGTGAAGAACTTGAAAGAGGGATGCATGTATGTAGATGAGGTATGATTGTCTTAAGAGCAGTCCTGGGGACAGAATTTAACACCAAATGAAAGGGAGGGACAGGCAAAGGAGGGAATTCAGAGGAGTGATCAGGGTGGTGCCTCAATCCTGATGGTGGACCATGAAGATTCTCCATGTTGAGGTGGGGCATGGGGGTGTTACTATCAGGAAACAACATGTTCTCAAGCCAGTGACTCCTAAATTCCCTTTTTG